CTTAACTCAGTCACTAATTCCTACTAGAAGAGACTCACTCAATTAATTGTGGAATGGTAAATTAGCAGTTATATCATTTCCATTGTTTCACCATTTTTTTCCAGTTGGGACTAACCCACTTAATGTATTTACAAAGCACCCACAACTTTCCTAGTGTGAAATATGCATAGAAATAGCAAAGTGTTTTAACACTGCTAACTACCACTGTTTGTATGGACACAAAACTATTTCTTGGCCTTCTACTGTACTTCATCACACTAGAGAATGAATCCACTTTAAATCTGGTTTCTGTCTCCTGCAGAATGCTGGGGTTTGTAACTTAGTGAGGCTGTTAAAGGCTCCTCCTTAAACTACAGGAGGCAGAAACCGGATTTAAAGTGGATTCATTCTCTAGTGGGATGGGGTGTCATTTTGTCTTATACTGCAGTTTTACATGACAACAAAAATTTATTCTGGAGGGCAACCTAACATTGTAGAGCAGAATTTCAGAGTCCATGCAAAACCATGATGAAAAGGATAATTTATTATCCAGATGTCTCCACTGAATTTAGGCTGTTAATAATTACATTTCTATAGTAAATGTCGATCACAGCCCCCAAATTATTGTTAAATAACTTTTGCTTTGCAACTTCTACTAACACTTCGGATAGGTAACTAAATATTGAGTGATGGACATGTCTTTGTCAGTAAACTTTGAATCCACATTTAATGTTCCTTTCTTAGTATTTCACTAATATAAACTGCAGAATCATGTTTGGAGATGCCATATTCTTTATGCAGTAAATACTTTGCATAGGACATTTTTATTCATCTGCAAGTAACACATTTTTCTAACAGACTGAACAGTATTATTCAATGCTATGATTACTCACTTTGTGTAAAAAGCAGTTTTTCTTTCAAAGTTCTCTGGGAAGTATTTGGCAGGAGCATTGAAAATATTTGACTTGTTCTTGTGGGGTTCATTTTAAAGCAGTGTACATAGGTTATGTGCTTAAAATAAAATTACTGATAGCTTTAGGACCGTTACACAGTTCATTGTTGATGTTATTTTGTTTTGGCATATTTTTAACACAGTTAGGCTTAACTGTCTCTCAACAGTTGTGATGCATGTTTGAGATGTAGGGAGGAATCATGTTTGAATCTGTAGACTGAAATCTCCAGAGTTAATCCATAAATGTTCTCATCTGTTGAAGAGATAGCACTTTGCCTCCTGGCAAAAGGGATCTTCAGCTGGTGTGAGACAGGCAGGGAAGGACTGGAATCGTTCCATCCTCTCCGAACAAGTAATTGGCACTATCAAAGCTAACAGTGCAAATAATTTTGTTCTGTATGCACATGAGGTTCAAAAAGACCTCAGGTGGATGTATAATGTTGTTCTTCTGTACATGATAATTTTAATGGACTAGTTTAAATCAGCCTTTGTGTATGGGGCAAATAACTTCTACTGCTACTACAAGTTTATGTTTACTTTAGAACATAATTAGAACTTTTTCAAACTTGCGACTTCTTTCTTCCCAGCCAGGTATATAGAAATATAAAATAGGTATAAAAATCAAACATGCACTGATAATAAATCAGCATTTGCAAGACTTGCTAAATAGGCAAGTTGAGCTGGAACATTTTCTGCAGGCTCTACTGTAAACACTGTTGTTGCTAACAGATTTGTGTAAATGGGTGGTAAAAGAAACCTTTTACTGATGCTATTTTGTTGTGCCAAGCTAGGGGGACCCCATTTGGTGCTTTCTGATAATGCTTAGACATGTAATCATAATTTCAGACATACCTCTTGATTTAGGCCAAATAATTTCTATTATTACATACCTTTTTTTTTGTTGCTAAGGTCAAAAATTATGAAACAGCATTATTACTCCTAGTTGCAATGGTGTTTATTATTGCGACTTTACTGTTCAACCTCCATATCCACATGAGATAGATTCCTGGACTTACTAACAGAGTTACCCTGGAGGACCTAGGAAATTCCTAGAAGGGGCATGTTTAGTCTGATGCAGGTAGGTGTAACTGCAGATTCTGATTCCACGGGTGTAAGCATTGTACTATATTGAGAGAAGCAAATATGATGGTAATGGTGATGATAATTTACTGCTAGGCATCAAAATGGGTGAGAAAAATCCAAAGACCTAATATCTTGTCTTGTGAATTATCCTTTCACAAGATCATTAGATGTTCTAACTGTAAACCACTTTGGTGAGATATCCTGCTTTCAACAGGATACAAAATATCAATCTGGGTGTTCATTCCTCTCAAAGCCATGCAATGGCTAATCAGCCATCTGCATTGAGCTATGCATTTTATCTACCATGAATTTAGGTTATCAAGAACAGGGAGTTGTGAAGAATGTCTCAAAAAGACTTTTGTCCTATAAATCCAGCCTCCTTCATCTTTTGTTCCTTAAATTGTGGAAAGACTGTATCTCTCACAGTTTAAGACATTGGCTGTCTTGTCCCCTGACAACTCTAGTGAGCTAGCAGGTAAGAAAACCCAGTCAGCAGCAATATGTGTAAAGCTTTGGATGCAGCTGCTACCTGGCAGGAGCTCCTTGGAGCCAGAAAGAAAGGAGACACAGGAGTAGTTTGCTGACTGAGACTTAAGCTTAACCAACACAACCTTACCACACACACAAATTTTGAACTAAGAGGTGGATTTGCTTTGTGGCTTAAAGGCCTGTAGAGGCAAGAAAGGAAACATTCATCTAGCATGAATGTTCTCTATAAACTATCATAATAGTGGGAGGAATATGCAAATGTAATCTTTAGATTTTAATTAGGCCAAATTTTCATTCGATACCATTTTGGAAGGGCCTACTTAAATTAAAACACACATACCTGATACTGAAGTGCTTAACACATGCCAGTAGAAATTAATACCTTTAGCTGCATTTATTTTTCATTCTAGTCTTGAAAAAGCGAACATGAGCAGAAATTGTGAGTAGAATTAGCATCAAGCAGATGAATCCATCCCTAATCCTGTTTATGCTCCACATCAGGCAGATGTGCCAAAATTGGTGTAGACAAGCTCTTGGCTTATAATAATAATTTTAAGAGCAATAGACTATTGTTTTTGTTAAGACTTTTCTTAATGCTGAGTGTTTCAAAAAGAGACGAAACAAGTGTAACCTACTTTATGAAGGACCCTGCTTGTTTCTTATGTTGGTTGAACAACGTGGCAGGAAAGATTATCTTTATTCCTTGTAATTAAATTGACTTTTGAAAATACAATGGCAAGTGGGTGCCGAATTAAATAAATAGCATGATATCTAATGTATACCTAAATCCCTTGTAAGAACAGATGGTACCCTGTGTCCTTCTAGGTAATATGAGAAGAGAGTTAATGTTTTGAAAGAGCTAGCAATATAATCAGCATGATACTAATGAATGGACAATTCTTCCACCAAGAAAAATCTGTAGTGTGAGATGTAGTTTGAAGAAAGTTTAAAATATGTGATTTTAAGTATAAAAACATAACATCAAGGTTCTTTTTAATTTAGTTAAAATGTTGTTGAAATTCCACAGGTTCACAATTAAAAGTAAGAGAATAAAAATATTTTAATGTTAATTGTTACTAAATGTCCATTATGTTGAAATGAGTGTTTATAAAATCTAACATATTAGGATTGCTTTGCAGTGCAGGAGAAAGCAAATCTATTGCAGTGTAACTTCTCCATTTCTAGTTAATTTTGTTAGTGTGTGCTTGTAACAAGTTATCCAAAGGAAACTGATTTTTCCCCTCTTTCAGAACCAACAAACATTAACTTATTTTGTAATGAGATCACAACAACTAAGCAGGAAACAGCTGAAGAAAATATATTTATTTCGTTGACGACTTTTGTCTAATTTTATACAACCAAAGGGATTTATCGAATATGTTTTCCCAGCTCCCTTGGTTTTGTTGGCCCTTGGCCCTTGGTCATGACTCCTCACCAGCTGCAAAGCCAACCTTGAATGGTTGAAAAGACACATACAAACTGTTTTAGTCAGGTGGTGTCTTTGCTGTATGGATGCTCTAGATTTAGCAAGGTAGTGTGTAACCTCAGGCTCCTTCCACACAGTTGAATAAAATCCCACATTATCTGCTTTGAACTGGAATATATGGCAGTGTGGACTCAGATAACCCAGTTCAAAGCAGATATTAAGGGATTTTCTGTCTGGGTTATATGGCTGTGAGAAAGGGGCCTCAGAGACAAATTCAGCTAGAAAAACATGGAACAGATCACTTGGCAAAGCAACATCTGAGTGTAGATAAGATGCCAAAAGTTACGAATGAAGAACAAAAAACTGCACTACATGTGGACAACTCAAATAATAATAATATAATAATAAACTTTATTTATACCCCGCCACCATCTCCCCAACAGGGACTTGGGGCAGCTTACATGAGGCCAAGCCCATACAACAAATTACAATGAAATAAGATACAAGTTACAATAAAATAAACAACATTACAGAAAAATACAGAACATATGACTACAATGGAAATAATAATAATAATAATAATAATAATAGTAATGATAATAAAGTAAACCAAACATAATGACAGTGAGCAGGCCGCATGTACATAAAATGATTAAAAACTCACGGTGAGATAAAGGAGCAGAATTATTTGTGAGTGAGAACTCGTAGAGAGACAGGGTGATAGACTGACCTTCAAACAAGGGGGGTGTAGTCTAGGACAAAGACGTTGAGGGGAGCAATAGGTTAAGAATATGTAATAACTCTCCAAAAACGCAATGGAAGAGTCAGGTCTTGAGATTCTTTTTAAAGGTTTCTAAGGCAGGGGCTTTCCTAATCTCTGTGGGCAAAGGGTTCCAGAGTCGGGGGGCCACAGAGGAGAAGGCTCCCTCCCTTGTACCCACAAGGCGAGTCTGAGAAACTGGCAAGGGTGAAAGGAGGGCCAGTATTAATAGTATGTTTTCTCTATGTACTTTTTATTGCGAGTTTATATTCTGATTTTCCCTGTTCTGATTTTTTCTCTTCTTTGGACAGATGACTCCAGGATGAGCTTGCAACAGGATGAGAAATATGTGGAAATGAAAGATGTATTTTCCGTAAAACTGAAACGCCGTCGTTTTGCTGGACAGGAAAAAGGTGGCTTATTATTAGGTGTGGCAATTTTTCTGTGCCTGAAAAAAGAAGGCAACAAACTTAAAGATTCCATCATCAATCTAAATAACTCAAGTGAAGACCACTGTCATTTGTGGTTTCGGTGTTTGAAACAAATCTTGAATGGTAAGTTCTCTTCAGAAATACAGTTGTCCTTTAAAATATGTTGCAAGAAGCCAATTGTGTTAATAATACTTATTGATCTATTTCTAGATAAGTGTAGTGAAGGGGTGCCTCACCGGGAAGGTGTAAGTGAAGGGCGGAGCAAGCTGCAGGCATCTGGTGCGCCCGGGATATGGAAAAAAGAGATAGAGTGGCTCTGGGCCCAGAAAAACACACCTCTTTTACCTGTCTGACCCGTCCTTGTATCTTACTATTGTACCTCCTCCTCTACCTCTCAGATCTCGCTCCTGAAGACTGCAGTGAAGTGGTGCAAGTGCACATGTGCGAGATCTGAGAGGCAGAGAAGGAGGTACAGAAATAGGAAAATTACCAAATTGAAATCAAATCTGATGCTTTTTAAATTTTGATTTGGTGTGTGTTGGAAGAGGGGTTGTCTTATATGCCCAGTCGTCTTATATGCCGGAAAATACGGTATTCTCATCTTTTCTGTACAGCTCTTTTTTATTGGAAAATCTTCATTCAAAGATACATTATAAAAGTTTATAGCATGTATGATTTTATATGTTCACCAAAAGTGAGGCAAGAAGAGAATTTGGAAAGATTCTAGCAGAAGATGGAGCAGCTAATGTTATTCTAAAAGGACAAGAGTTACTTTGAACTTGATTTCTGTTATTATGTCTTCACGTTTACTGTGATGTTTCAAGTTCAAAATGCTCTTAAAGAAAAAAATACCTTAGCTTTCACAATTCAGTGAAGTTTTACTCAATATGGTGTACTGCAAATCTGTGGGGTTTATAAAAATATTAATAGAAGGTATCAAAATTAGAAGAGCTTTATTCTAATACAGCCATATCTTTCATTCCTAATCTGTGATAATCTTAGATTTATTTTAAACTGAAACTAGAAGATTTGGCAAACAGTTTGCATTTTTAGGTATGAAGTGGTATTTGTCTTTTTATAGTGAGATATATAGCTCTGCTTTCAGAATCAAAGATAGGATGGCTATTTATAGGTGGAACACATTTGCTCTCGCATCTCCTTTATGACATGCCTCCCACACCAAGTTCTAATGTGTATGTGGAAACCTTCATGCGTGAAGGTTTAATTATCCCATTAATGTTATACATTAACAGTGTATTATCAACTGAGGTGTATCTGTAGTTAGTTAGCATGAAAAATGCTTGTTCACATGATTACTTCTGTCTCTGTGTAACACTTTTCGTATTGTTTGTTGTATCAAATATTAATAATGTATATTACAGTGACATCATTTCGGCCTCTTAACTTTTGTAAACAGAAACCTGCTGCCATAAAACTAAATACTGAAAACAGCACAGATGTGTGTCTGAGGGTAGCGTCTCCGTCGCCCTATGAGCCTTTGTTTTCAGAACACCCTGATTAACCCCTGTCTTTCATGGTTCATTGATTCACTGGTAGATCAAGTTTAAACTAGAGTATATTAGAACATTTGTTACTAATGGAGGACCAGTTGGATTTTTTTTCTTTTTAAAGTGCTATTTCAGCTTCTATTGCATGAGCAATAGAATAGGAGGCATGTCCCAAAGAAGCCGAAAGCTACAGCTTTTACATACTGATGTTGAGCAATGAAACTTTTAAACGTGAAATCAATTATAAATTCTTTGTTATGAGGCATGTGCTATGACAAGATAGGAAAAATATGTTTGATAAAATAATAAGACTTATCCCAGTATCCAGGCAAGTTCTCTGGATTTGTACTAAGAAATGCTGAGGATTTCACTGATAGGCCTGCTGTCCATTTTGCTGGCATCTTAGTTTTGTTGTAGCAGGGGAAGCTAATTTTGAAGTCCTGGTTCAGGGCTGAATTTACATAGGCTAACAACAACAACAACAAATCTTTATTTGTATCCTGCTTTTCTCCCTAAACGGGACCCAAAGCAACTCAAAACATTTTAAAAACAATACAGATCAAAACACATATAACAATAACCTATAAAATTATGTTTACACTAAAACATTAATAAACATATTTAAAACATTTATCAAATACAGTTATTGTGGGGAAACTCATCGATACAGGTGGTAAAGTTAGCATGACTCACTGAATGTTAGCCTTCCTGTTGTTCCAACTGTTGTTCCATGGCTTTTCTCGGGCATGGAATAGAGGTGGTTTTGCCCCTTTTTTCTCTGAATATCAACCATAGCACCCGAAATTCATTGGCCATTTCCCATCCAAGTAATAACCAGGACTGGCACTGCTTAGCTTCCAAGATTAGAATGATCTGGTGCCTTTAGGGTACTTAAGCAGGATCACTCCTTTATAGGGGAAATAATTTTCATTTGAATTTGATTTTAAGAAAGGTTTTTTTAGTTTTGAAGAATACACCAAAATTTTCAGAACAGAAGAATGCGTCATTTCTCCTTTAACTCACTAAGCCACTTCACACAGAAATAATGTCATTTTTGCTTCTGTTTTTGTTAAGACCATTTATCCACAGAGCAGAAGAATATATTTCTGATTGAAAAGTCATGCCTAAAATACCTCCCTGCTTAATGTGGTTCCTATTTATCTACTCACATTGCTGTTTTTGATCTGCTAGGTGGGTGGGGAGCTGGGTTGAAAGTCAGGAGCTCACTCTGACCTGGCTTCAAACTGTCAACCTTTCGGTTGGCAAGATTTACTGCAGTTGCAACTGGTTATTAACCTGCTGTGCTAAAGCCGGTCCTTGGCCTTTGAAAGAAAAAAAGTCCTATATTTGCACTTAAAAGATGACTGATATCTTGATTCTGTGTTAGATTCTGTTGGAATATGTTGTTACCACTTGCACATTTATAACCACTGGAGGGTAGAGAATATGATAAATAAAGAATTGTGTACAACATTGTTATGCAAATGGATGATATTTGATCATAAAAATGGTCAAGGCAATCAAATGAACTCCAGCTTCCAGCTTCAGCTATTTGTTAAACAACAAGGCAATGAGACATTCAGAAATAATCAATTGCTATGAAAATGAAATGAACTTAAAAATATTAACTTAAGTACATGTTATCAGCAGCCTAAGAATAACTTTGGTGATAAATAGGGTGGGATAAGTATTCGAAATGGGGTAGAAATTGAGAAAAAGAAAGAAAGAAAAGAAAAGAAAGAGAAGTTTACATAGGGTAGGTGCGTGTGATAATGAAATATATCTGTTTTGTGGCTGCCATGGTAAATAGGGCAACCTGAACTCTGAAACAAAATACATTTTTTTTTCTCTGTGAAATCTCCCCTGATCTAAACATGACAAACACAGACGTTGTCTGGTTACACTATATAGCACGATTTTTGTTCCTGGGTAACAAATGTCATTTCCTAATTGGTTCTGTCATAAAAACATGGAAAGAGTTTATTAAATTGCACATTAAAAGGTTAAAAATAGCTTATTTTCATTAAGGAAAATTAGAAACAAGGTGCCTAGGCTGAAGGAAATAATCTTACTATGCTCAGCCACCAAAACAAAGTTTCTGGAGTATACAGTAACTGTTTTCAAAGTACGTACCCACACAATTAAGCAGGAAATAACACTTTCAAACCCTGAACAGATTTTTTTCAATTTTGTTACATATTGTTATTCAGAGATAACATTTCATGAGTAATTTTTAAATTTGCTTCGTTAGTAAATACATTTCTTGGTAAATAAAAACAAAACCAGCTACACATTTTGGCTGAAATGTGCATTACATATTGCAATCTCGGGATTTTATTTTTCTTCCCCTTGTGCCCTTGTTTCTTGATCCTTTAATCAAGGGCAGATTTCTTTTGCACCTGCTTCTTCCGTGTGGCAGGATACATAATCTGCAAATCCTGAAAATTGTGGTATCAAATCTCTGCACCAACTGTGAAGGAGTGCTATTATTAAATCCTGGCTGAGAGGCATTTCCTCTGAAATTCTCAGGAGAATGGGCTCTCTTCTCCTTATCACCATCCCTCTTTGGGGCTTGAACCATGACCTAAAACCTCTTTCATTCTAGCTGTCACATAATGCTCTGGATGATGGTGACTCATTTGTGCCATTTATTCTTAGCTGGAGACTCACAAGCTCTAGTTGTTCCAGGGTCAGTGTTTTACTTGACAGGATTACGTAGGTGGCGGATACAAGTAATGAGCATCTTCTTGTGCAAATAAGACTGTAAACAACCTCCAGTTATCAGCATATATTAAAAAAAAATCCTTCTATACATTCCTAATTGTTTCCAGACTGTGTATTGGTTCAATAAGTATAAAAACCCATATCTGATATATATATTCTTTTTCTTTTAGGTCTTCCCAATAGGCCAAAGTCATTAAAAGTGTTTATCAATCCAACTAGTCACAGAAAAGAGGCTACTCGCATTTATTATGAGCAAGTTGCACCTCTCTTTAAGCTTGCTGATATCAGGACTGATGTGACAGGTAAGATGTTTTCCACAACACAATTTAATTGATTTCTGAAGGTGGCACAAAAGTAACTCAGGGCCCTTCCACACAGCCCTATAACCCAGAATATCAAGGCAGAATAACCCACAATATCGGCTTTCAACTGGGTTATCTGAGTCCACACCGCCATATATCCCAGTTCAAAGAAGATTATGTGGAATTTTATTCAGCTGCGTGGAAGAGAACTATGACACTGCTTTTAGCAACACCATTTTGGATGTGAATGGGTACATTTAAAGATTATTTTATGGGTGTGAAGATCTGTTACTCAACCTTTTTGTGTACTCTTGCATTTGAAAATAGTTTTCACCAATTTGCTAATTTTTTCAGTTATTAAAAATTAAATATTAGTGTAATGTGTGTTCCAGAAATGTTGCAATGAGAATGCCTTCTAAGGAAAAACGCTCCATTTCTTTTCACACTTATTCACAAGTAAGTATAGACAGAATGCCATCCTTTTTGCCTAGTGGTCATGCTTTTGTTGTTCTGGTTGTGGTGTTGTAGCATGCCTTCAAAATTAATTCCCAATTTATGGTGAGCCTAAAGGCCCGTCCACACAGCCCTATATCCCAGAATATCAAGGCAGAAAATGCCACATTTTGAACCCAGTTCAAAGCAGATATTGTGGAATTTTGTGCCTTGGTAGTCTGGGATATAGGGCTGTCAGGATCCAGTTTCCGGAGCCCAGAATTTGGCGCTGGAAACTGAACTCCTGACATTTTGGCCCTGATAAGAACCCTGCAGCTGGTGGCCTTGAAGAAAGCAGTTATGTGATGGCGGGAAGCTTTTGCGCGGGGTTTTGGATCTGGCAGGAATTTACCGTTCGAACAAGTGGGAGGGTATATAAGGGGCTGCCTGCTGCGTCCAGGCAATTCCGGCTTTTCTGTGTCTTAGTATCTGATAGTAAAGTTCTTTGTTTGATTACGATGGAAGTCTCGTGTCATCATTGAGCCCAGCTGTCGTGAGCTGACATAGGGCTGTGTGAAAGGGGCATAAAACAACCTTCTTGTGGGGTATTCTGGGGCTGAAAGCATGCAACTCACCCAATGTCCCCCCATTTTGTTTCCATGATAGAATTGAACCCTTGTCTCCGGAGTTTCAGGCCCCTTCTACACTGCCATATAATCCCATATTATCTGTTTTGAACTGGATTATATGGCAGCATAGACTCATATAATCAAGTTCAAATCAGATAATGTGGATTATCTGATCTCATAATCTGGATTATATGACAGTGTAGAAGGGACCATAGTCTAGTGCTCAAACCACTGCACCATGCAGGCTGTAGCTGATAGCAGCATTATTTATGTTGACAGAACATCTTCTTTTAGGAATAGATGCACAGTGTACTGTGGTGCAGTTTAAATAAACTTTAGTGGGCCTTATCTCTGAGTGAACAAGAGGGGATAGGCTGGATCTACACTGCCATATACAATCCAGATTATCTGCTTTGAATTGGATTATATGGCAATGTAGACTAATATCTGGTTCCAATAAAATAATCTGCCTAAGTATTGAAAATCTAGCCTAAGTATTGAAAAGCCAGGGCTAGTATGGAAACAGTCTTGTTTCAATGTGCATCAAAAGCTTTCATGGCTGAAATTATTGGGTTGCTGTGAGTTTTCCAGACTATGTGGCCAGGTTCCTGAAGCATTTTCTCCTGACATTTTGTCCACATCTATGGCAGGCATCCTCAGAAGTTGTGAGGCATACAGTCCGGAAAACTCACAGCAACGCAGTCATATTTCAGTCTGGATAAAAGCCTTGCATAAGATCTTCCTTTCCTTCTAGTTACAGAACAGATTGCTGCTGTCAGTTATTACTAAGGGCCCTTCCAAACAGCTGTATAACCCAGAATATCAAGGCAGAAAATCCTACAATATCTGCTTTGAATTGGGTTATCTGAGTCCACACTGCCATATATTCCAGTTCAAAGCAGATAATATGGGATTTTATTCAACTGCGTGGAAGGGGCCTAAATCATGTGTAAGAATTAGGACTAGTATTTTGGATTCCTTCCCACTAATCTTTCCAACAGGTGAACGTGTTTTCAGAGTTGGTAAACTAGATGGCCGTGTACTAAATATATATCCTCAGAGGGCAGGTATGTATGAGAGTATGAAGATATTCCACATGGAAAGAGAAATACATAGTGCTTTTCATGCATGAATAAACTTATTTCAAGATTTATTGGGGATGTTTATTATTCCATTTATTTATTTTAATACCCCAACGATTTATTGATTTGGGGTGTAGGTTTGCTTGCCTCTAAAATATCTTCAAAAGAAATATCTAAAAACATAACATTAATTTTCTCTAATAATTTGAATCACATTTCAGTTATTCTGACATATTATTATTTTCAACAGATTAAACTTTTTAAAAATTTAAATATGTAAAATTCCATGGGAACTAGCACAGATATAATGCCTAATTAAAATGAATTTGGTTTTTCATTTTTTTAAAGGACAAGATAAAGTTAAACATATGTTACCTGCAAGAATGACTAATATTTTTGCAGTAATTCACAGCATACTGCTGTGTTTATTAGCTAACACTCCTCCTAGAGGTTACTTTGGCAAATGGCAGGTCCTTTAAGTTTGTTAGAGGTGCTCTACTAAACCAGACAAATCTTCTTTACAAAGAACCTTGGCAGGTTTGACATTTGTAGATTTGATTATTCGTAGATTTGATTAAAATCTTATCTCTAGGAATTGCTAAGTCTTGCAGTTCAGGGCTCAGCTTCTAGTGGACATTGACCATAAAGTCATGCTGAAGGATCTAGAAATTCCTAAAGAGGCATTCTCTCAACGTTATATAGTTAGTTGAGAGAATACACACACACACACACACATATAACCAATTAGACAAGAAACACAATATATATATTTTAAAATACAAGTTTTTTGCATTGAAGGACTGCCTTCATTGTGAAAAACATCACCTGGCACAGAACACACACATACATTTCTAATATATATTCATAGGTAACATACAGAACCAATAAAAACATGTTAGTTTAAAATATCAACTTCTTTCTCTGAACAGATATAATAAGTGTATGTGTGCATGTTTTTATATTCCATTATATAAAAGCATACACCAAGGAAATTAAGTATTATAGTTTTAAAATATTTTATATATACTAAGCCTCTAAAATACAAAAATACAGTACCAGTTTGTTTTTGATAATTATTTTTATTTCATAAAACAGTAATCTGACAAGGAGTATTGTGTATGATGTGATAAGACCATAGTTCTGTATTGTCCAGAACAGTTCTGACATTGTGGATACTACTCTACTTCTTTATCTTAAGGACACCGTTAGCTGTTGTAAAGGAACGGTTGAGTTGAGTGGACTACCTGTAATGATTTTTTTAATAGTAACATCAGGCATGTTAAATTATTTTTAGATCAGCAGAAAATGAATTTAACAGTATTTAAAAGCAAAGGAGAAGAACGAATGTACTACCACCAAAGGCAGACAAACATGAAAGATTAATGTAATCTTGCATAGAATAACGCACATTCTTACACAAAAAATCCATCTGGAAGTGTCATGTCAGTCAGCAGAAACCTTTGATGAGTGGATGCAGCTGGGCCGTCTCTTCTGGCAAAGATGCGCTAGAAAATGCTAAACGTGGACATGAAGCTTTATGCCATCTGCAGTGTGCCAGTTAATTTCTTCTTTTTTCTGCTGGCATTTACTTTACTGCATAGGGTATCGTTAAACAGAGGCAGCAATGTAGACTGGCAGGTTCACTTCTTCCAGAGGGAACAGATACTGGTATATACTTGTGTCATCACCCTCTGTCTTCCATTCTCTTGTTACTGATATCCAGCTTTATTCTTTCTATGGTTACTTGCCCAGGTTAGAAATCAGTATTATCTGACTCAACAACCATTAAGTTCTGTGTGATGAAATAATTACACCGAGGGATAAAAGGAAACTGAAAGACTTTGGGCTTGTTGACATGTACTTAATTTATTCACTACAATATCATTTTTTAATCGTGGCAGAAGTGAATTGAGAACATACTGCAAGTCACTTCTGGTGTGAGAGAATTGGCTGTCTACAGAGACGTTTCCCAGGGAACGCCCGGATGTGTTACCATCCTGTGGAAGACTTGTCCCCATATGGGAAGCTGGGGCTGACAGTCAGGAGCTCACCCTGTCTTGCGGATTCAAACCGCTGACCTTCAGGTCAGCAGTTCAGCCAGCACAGGGATTTAACCCATTGTACCACCGCAGCTCCTACTACAATATTATGATTCACCAAAGAAAGCTGAATTTGGAGGACACATAGTTAGTATTGAGTACATTCATGAATTTTGGATTTTTTGAATATAAGAACTAAACAATGGTCACAGCACCTTCCACCAAAAATGCACTCCTCATTATCTCAGACATTGTGTATTTAAGCAACATATATTAGATGGAGCAAAATTAATTTTGTTGTTCCTGTTGTGAACCATCTGATAGTTGGAACCTTGATAAATTCTCCAATAGATGTTTATCTACTGCTTACACATCACTGAGGTGAAGGAGACCAGAATATTCTTGTTTTTATAGGATGATAAATAGTAAACTGTACAGGAAATATATTTATTGTCTAACTTAGAAAATTATTCATATAATGAAATACAGTCAGTTGCTCATATCCACAGATTCAAGCACTCATGGCTTGAAAATATTCTTTAAAAATCATTTCCCCCCTCAAATGTAAGGACCATTATGTATAATGGGACTTGAGCATCCACAGATTTTGGTATCCACAGGAGATCTTGGAATCAAACCATTGTGGATACCAAAGGTCTACCATATAAATGTATTTTCTATTTACAAAATTTTAAGCATGTCATGAACAGCCATTGTGGCAACGTAAATTGAGTATTGGGCTAAGCCTCTGGAAGACCAGAATTCAAATCCCCACTTGGCCAAGGAAATATGGTCTCAGACTCATGGCCCTTCCATGTTCCATGGACTAAAATAATCCTGCTCAAATCAGATAGTGTGGATTTTCTGCTTTGATACTTGGATTATTTGGCAGTATAGAAGAAGCCTCAGAGAAAGCAAGGACAAGTCCCCACCTAAACAAACCTTGCTAAGGTTTGCCATGACAAATTTGATTCATGTTAGACCTGCTGTGTGCTGGAAACACCTGAAAAGCACATAACAACAGTTAACAAACCATCATATACATTGCATTGTTTCATGGTCCAAAATGTAAGGGAGAAATAATGATCATGTCCACAAGGCAGAAATCCTGGTGATTGTGTGCATCTATGGAGGAAATTAAATTTGGACTGGATTATCTGGCAACGTAGACTCAGATAATCCAGTTAAAAGCAGATAATGTGGTTTGTCTTCCTTGATACTCTGGATTATATGGCAGTGTAGAAGGGCCCTAGATAGCCATTTGGATTGTGATTTAGATCATCAGACAGGATTTTGTTTTTAACTTGAGATGCTGAATGTTGTTTCAAAAATCACTTGATTGATTCCATGTTACAGTGAATGATGTCTGTTTTCACAGTTACTGAATATGAGGGACACGCTCTTGCAGTGCTTGAAGAATGTGATTTGACATCATTTCATGGGTAAGATCTTTTAAAACTTATTTCGTGTGTGTTCCTAAGTCAAGGAAAAGATAACAAGTGAATAGGTATCATTATCCTTTGGGATACCACCAATCCATTGCATCAAAAAAGTCTTAATGGAATTTGATCCAAGTGTTCCAGGTTTCTACACAAAATTGTCACCCCAAATCTGGATTCCCCATCCAGTGAACCACTTTATGTTAATAAGAGATCTGTGCTTCAGAACACCAGTAGTTCTTTCTAATCAAGGCATTTAACTTCCAATTTGCATAAATGGAAAAAGCATGTGCATATCATAAAATAAAATTCAGTATCTAGAAATGTTATTCGTTTTATATCCATTTTTATAATATTCTAATTGAGCAATTTGCAAGTTTTAAACATACTTTTATCCCATCGTTTTCTCATATTCATAAACAATAAAATGGTATGATGAAAAATGTCTACAATTACTTTAGAAAGATTATAACTACTTTCAACTTGCTTATGTGTCTTGTCTGGCAGAAAACTTTTCTCAAAATGAAGAGTCTGGCAATTTTGTCTCCTTCAGGGTGGTCTGTATAGGTGGAGATGGGACTGCCAGTGAGGTTGCCCATGGCCTTTTGCTTAGAGCCCAGATGGATGCTGGAAAGGATTGTGACGATATATTTGAGCCCTCTAGAGCACAAATTCCTCTTGGGATTATACCAGCAGGTAAGAGTATTTAAAAATATGAGGAAAGCTGCATATAGTAACAGAGACATCATGACATAGAATCACTTCCGTATTTTATATTGGACAGTATGGTTTGAATGCATAATACAATATTAATTCTAAAAAATCCTAGTCCTCCATTGCATATTCTGTACTCATTGGCTACCTCCTTCTTCCAAATGACTAAATCCATTGTGGTACTGACCACACAGCAGCAGTCCCGCAGACCTTCCTTTCTGTCTCCTCCATACAGCATCACTTGGAGGTATCCAGAAGCAGACACCAGAGTATTCCTAATTAGTTGGAGAATATTTTAGGGATGGAAGGAGAATATGCCTCACCTCCTGCTTGCCTGGAGCCTGCACAAATCCTAGCTGGCCCCATCTTAGCCTTAGAAGCATTGACTTGGAGCAGATGCTTTTTATTAAGGTGGCATTTAATTTTGTATTTCAGTTTGCCTCCTTCGGTTGAAAAGAATTATTAACCACTATCTTGATTAGCTAATGTATTGACTTTGAAGGGGTTTTTTTTTTTTAAAAAAAAAAACAAAAACAATTACTGAACACTTCCAAAGTTGTGTATACGTTATATCAAAACAATTCAGAAATAAGTTAGCAGGAAGTATAAAACAGTGCTCATTATTTTAAACAACAACAAAAGTAAACTAGTATTTTGACTTCACTTGTCATAGATACAATGACAGTGGTTTAGGTGATAAGAGATGAAATTTATCTTACACCTTTTCCCACAAAACTAGGACTCATAATCACTTCCAGATCAAAATGAATAGAATATATATATAAAACATACAAAGGCTGTCATTAAAAACAAGAAAAATGATAAAACATAGTTAAAAACAGAACATTTAGAAGCAGTACAGCTTAGAAGCTTAGGGAACCTTGTAAACTTCGACTATGACTTTGGAGACCACAGTTTGATTTCATGGTTCTCCATGGAAACCCACTGAGTGATTTGTGCCAAGTCGCACACTCTTAGTCCCAGAAAGCCCAGTGATAGATTTACTTTAAAAGTATGGACATGCATACATATGTGAGGGGAAGTCACAGGGAGGAAGGAGCAAGCTTGTTTTCAGCTGCCCTGGAGACTAGGACGCAGAAAAATGGCTTCAAATTACAGGAAAGGAGATTCCACCTGAACATTAGGAAGAACTTCCTCATGGTAAGAGCTGTTCAGCAGTGGAACTCTCTGCCCTGAAGTGTGATGGATGCTCCTTCTTTGGAGGATTTTAAGCAGAGGCTGGATGGCCATTTCTCAGGGGTGCTTTGAATGTAATTTTCTTGTTTCTTGGCAGGGGGTTGAACTGGATGGCCCATGAGATGTCTTCCAACTCTATGATTCTATGATCAGTCAAGAAATGACTTAAAGGCACATTACAGCAACAGCCAATAGTGCTCTTTTAAATTCTTTCCTATAAAACCTTCAATTCACCAAAGATGGCTAAAATAAAAGGTCTTTTCAGTATTCAGGCTTTCTTGACTGTGGATATAAGAATCTAAAGGAAAAACAAACAGCTCCTAAATTTTAATAGTATTACTATTGTATGGTAGTTGAAAAAACTGTTCAGGTGGAAGAAGTCTCTGGTAGTCCTGCTGGCCATTTAGGAATAGTGTTAGTTGCTATGGGAACTATAGCTGTTGAGCTGCACAAAGGGATTTGGATAAAGAGGAGGAATACTGGAAACACAAGGAAAAGCACTTTAATTGCTAAGAAAGAAAGGGGCAGTTATATCTTGACTATAACTCTTACAGTCTTAAATCATTCACTAGCTTTAATTCCTGCTTCCAGTTAATTTGTGGGAAGTAAAGTATTGTCATGAGATTTTGACTTTTCAATGATAGTTTGGGCAAAGAACCGTTGTGTTGGTGCAATTTTCATGAGACCCTTAGATATGCTTGAATAAGAAGTCATTACATCACATTTATCTGTTTGGATGTGAGAGACATTAACAGGGCTATGAATATTCATGTTGTCTGGCTAATTAAGTTAATTGTTCTGCAGGAGTGCTTGCACTTCCAAGGACCCCCCCACACACACACACACATACACACTCACGCATGTATGTCAGGTACCTTCATTCGTCTTTCACTTGAACTGCACATACTGTTGTTCTCTCTGGCATCCTTTGGAATAAGGATTTTTATTTTACCTATTTTAGTAGTAGATGTTATCAGGAAAGCCATCCCCTTGAGCAGTGTTAAATAGCCACTAATAAACAGTTTTCAAATTACTGTTGTACTGTGTTGTTCTTTTAGAAATGTGAAATCTATGACCTACAAGGTATAAGTAGCATTTATTTGTGATTATTTATTTGATCTCATCTAAATAGCCCAAAGACACCAGATCCCATCAGAACTTGGAAATAAGCAGGATCTAAATATTTAGATGGGAGATTGCCATTCAACACCAGGAGCTGTACACTATGTTTCAGAGAAAGGAAATAGCAAAAACCTCTGGGTTGCCCTTGCCTAAGAAAATTCTTTATTGAACCATGAAGTCACCATAAGTTGATGTGTGACTTGAAAATGATGCTTACACACATTTGTATATTATTTGTTCTTGAAGAAGCAAAGGCCACCAGTATTGAAATGATGGTCCTCCACCATCCATTTATATATATATGTGTGTGTGTGTGTGTGTGTGCGCGCGCACACATGCGCGCACATGCAAACACACATATACACAAATATATACACACATATACACACACACACAAAACACATATACACAGACTGGGCCACAGCAATGCATGGCAGGGGATGGCTAGTACTAGATAAATCTGTGAAGATTCTAGTTAATGGCATTCAGCTGTTCATGACTGCAACTGGGAAGAGTTCAGAGCATTGTACTGTCAAAGGCTTTGATTGCCAGAATCACTGAGATGTCATGAGCTTTTCTGACTGTAAGACCATGTTCCAGAAGTCCTTCTGTAAGGAATGAATGTTTGAATGCATGTAGAAGAGAAGAAACAGGCCTAAAGAAAAACCAACATGGAGTTCTCGCAAGGCATGATAGGGGATGGCCTTGGCAGTCGAAGCAAGGAGGCAATAAGGCATAACTGAGTGACAATGAACAATAAGGTGTGCGGTCAAGCAAGTAAGGAGTGTGCAGGAGGTACCCCATAAGTCACGGGGCCTGGAATGTGAATGTCCTGAAGTTGAAAAGAACAAGGTCTCGAAAGGAACAGAACAACCTGATTATTAAAAAGAAGAAAAATGGATTTTTGCCTATAAATGCAGGGGACCCCAAGAACATGCATTCTTCCTGATCCATGGCAATGGAGCGTCCGCACCTCCTCGGAAAAGACTGATCATCTTCGCCGGAGGAGGCCTGTGTGTGTGTGAGTATGCGTGAATGTGTGTGTGCACGAGAGCTCTCCTTGATGTGATTCTGATATGATTTTGTGATGATTGTATTTCAATAAATGTTACATGAATAGTGTTAAAACCAAATTTGGTCTCTACAGTGTCTCATTGGTCTAAAATACCTTACTATTCCTTGAACACTGCACAAAAGAACAGGAACCTCTTTGGGTTCATAACACTTCTGGAACATTTGGCACATTTCTCCCTTTCTCCCTACAGCCCGGAAAACTCACAACAACCCAGTTCAGAGTATGCTTTCCTTTGAAGACTATAAGGCAAGTATCCTTCAAAGGAAAAGCAAACTTTACAAAAGAAGGAGTTAACCATTGGAGAGCAAGTTCCAGTTTGAATTGTATATTGTTAATTTAAAAATGTGTTGTTAATGGACTTTTTATTTGATCCCAAGACTATTTCTACAGCATATGTAGGTTGAGACTTTAAGCCTATCCTAACATGTGAATGGTTATTGTGATAACCCTAGTTTAGCAAGTTTTTCTTCTTTTCTTGTATGAATCTGTTTTAATTTGGTACTTTATGTTTGACATTTACAGGTTCTACAAATATTTTGGCACACACTCTGAATGGAGTCCAACATGTACTAACAGCAACATTGCATATAATAATGGGTAAGACTTCTGTATTTGAAAATACCTGGAAACTGAGCTTTATTAATTATGCCAAATTACATCAGGTTAGAAAATATGCACAGTGAATATTATACCCATATAGAACAATCTCATCACCTCTTTGGAACATTAAAATTAATAGGATAAATAGGATTACACTTCTTAGATTATTGTAACAGTTAATGTGATTCAAATGAGTATCCTGATAATGCACACACAATTCAGAAGTATGAATGAGCAATGCTTCCTAGTTAACATTTTCCAGTTGTGTCTGTACCAGAATAACATTTGAATCAAGTGAATGAGAACTATAGTATGATATGTAGTTTCACAATCTTATCTATTGATTCTTATCTACTCATTTTCACTTCTTGTTTTGGCCCATGAAAGTGGACAGTGACCCTCTAATCTGATGGGTGTCAAATAGGATGGGACTTTTCTTCTCCAGCCTATTTGTGTTGGGGCATCTTGGAACATATTCCCAGTGGATATTGGGAACTTTGCTAAAAATAAGCAATGTTTTAGTTACAGGAGGAAAACATATGTATTATGTGAGATTATGGATTTAAATGTATATTTGTATAACATTCTGATAAATTTGCTTAAGAACATTTTGCCTGTGCCTACATGAACTAGTTGTTTCCATCACATTGTACATACATTTCCATGTAGTGAAGAACAGTGCACTTGCCACACATAGCATATTTTTACTTGCATATGGAGAGAGTTTTATGGCTTGGAGGCTGGTCACTCAGTCAATCTTTTCCATTCTGCTTCTCACACTGTTTACTTTGCCATTGAAAAAAGCTCTCTAGATCAGTGCTTCTTAAACCTTTCCACTTGAGATACCTTTCTGCCAGATAATTATTTTACATGACCCCAGGTATTTAGGTATGTAAAATAGGTATAAAAACCAGACATTTACTGTTTATGAATCTGCATTTGCAAGGCTTACTAAACAGGCTGATTTTTCTTTTTTGTGGAGTACAGCTGAAGCACCTTCTGCAGAATCCACTGTAAACACTGCGTGTTACTAATAGATTTGTATAAATGGGTTAAATGCTAATCAAGTAGATAATAGTTCTTTCTCCCACCCTGGACATTCCACAGATATATAAACATCACTTGCCTAATTTCCAACAGACCTCACAACCTCTGAGGATGGCTGCCATAGATATGGGAGAAATATCATGAGAGAATGCTTCTGGAACATGGCCATACAGCCTGGAAAACTCACAGCAACCCAAAAATGAATTGTTTAATAAATATGTTTGCATTTATGTTATCATTTCAGGGCATCTACAGCCAGTGGATGTTTGCTCTTTCAGCAGTCCGACAAAACTACTTCGTTTTGGGTTCTCTTGTATGTTTGGCTTTGGATCAAGGACGCTAGCTTTAGCTGAAAAGCACCGATGGATGCCATCAAATCAGCGAAAAGATTTTGCTGTGATGAAGACATTGGCTAGACTAAAGTATGATTTTTTTTAAAAAAAGTATATGCATTTTTTAAAAGCAGCTGTGCAATATGCACATGTGGGTTGGTATATTTATCTGTTTACCACAGTTTAATTATTGTGATTATTCGGAGAATAATTTTATATAATTATTCACAGTAATAATTAATACAAAACCGCAATCAACATACCTAGTGAATTAGGAACCAACCCTATTAGATTTAAAAGATTTGCTTTTAAATTCACAAACCTAGGATTGTACCTCTTAGCATATTTATTTTATTTATTTGGGCATTTCTATATTGCCTTTCTCCAAGGACTCAAGGCGATTTACAACAGTGGGAAATTATTTTTTTCCATTTACTGTTTGATGTTTTGTCTTATGTGTTTTCTATTTAATTTTAGTTGTTAAGTTATAATTCGTGTTTATATGTTCGGTTGTTTAAATCGTTATTATCGATGTATTGTTGCATTCGGGCATTGAATGTTTGCCTATTATGTTTGGAATCCACCCTGAGTCCCTTTGGGGAGATAGAGCGGAATATAAATAAAGTTTTATTATTATTATATCATCAATAGATAAAACACAACAGATAAATTACCTATTGAAATAATTCTAAGTCAGTCTTTGTCGAACATAAAATCAGTAATGATTAAAAGCACTCTAAAATGTCTAGGAAGGTAAAATATAATTATAAAATAAAGGTCCTTGGCTCTTTCCATAGCTTGTAATATATGACTATGCTTCAGTTTAACCATGAGAACATTTATTTAAAAAGACAAAGGATCGACATGATCTGAAAACAATACAGTGTTGTTGTGGGGTTTCTATTATTTCATGCTGTGTTCTGAGCAGTTGAATCTTTCTCTTTATGTTATCTATCTATCAGATCGATCCATCTATCTATATCAGAACTCTCTTTAAAATAAAGTTGTTCTGTCTCTAGGCCAGAAGATTGTGAATTATCCTTCCTACCTTCAAAATGCTTACAGCATGATGTTGAGGAAAATGGGTGAGTAGTAATCACTTATCTGTGGATCTGAAACACAGTTGAGCAAGTTTTTACTACAATGACCTCCTGTATACAGGTTCAGATATCTATGGCTTGAAAAGCAAACCTTGATTTTGTCATTTTATACAAGGGACATCATTTTATTGCGCTAGGTTTGCTTTTCAAGCCATAGATTGATGTTTTGAGTATTCATGGGTTTTGGGATTCACAGTGGGTGCTGAAACCAAACCACAGTGGATACCAAGGCCCCACTGTATTTGAAATGTTCTTATTTCGCATGAACACCTTAATCAGAAGAAATGTTGTTGTCATAAGTGAAACTTGCTCCCAATGACTGTTTTGAAAATCAGACTCAAAAGCTGCCTTTATTTCATCTCAGACTTATTTAGATAAGTTTGTTTCTCTCTAGTCAAAACACACTCCTTTCTCTTTTTTGTTTTATCACACCCTTCGTAATTATTTTATCTGACTTGTTTATTTTTAGAAGGAAGCAAGAGAGACATAAGCATGGTAAGATTTCAAGTTTAATCACTTACCAAAGAGAATTACTGGAAGGGTTACTTGAAGTAGTAATGAAGCGTGATGTTATATTTAGAGAGCAGTGATCGGTGGCAGAAGATCCAGGGTCATTTCCTGAACGTGAGCATTATGGCCATCCCTTGTCTCTGCTCAATGGCACCAAGAGGCTTGGCACCTAATACCAGGTCAGTAAGGATTTACAGAATTAGAGTAATGTCTCTGTCATCTTATTCTAAAACCTCGGCTTTCCCCAGAATGCATGCTTGTGTCATGAGCAGTCTAGACCCTCTGAGGTTGGGAAAGGGGATGAAGAGGGTTGAGTTGGACTGCAGTTGACTCTCTAATCTCAGGAATTGTAATCAGTTTTTGGTTCAGGCCGATGAGGTCATCCACATCGAAGAATCGTTAGATAATTACAGTGATTTAATTAGTTTACAAGGGTGACTTAAGTGGTGGTCATCAAGTAATAATCTTCTATGAGCTTTGTTAGTAGGGGATCTGGCTCAGTGGATTTGACTTCAGTTTACTGGATTGGTTTTTGTTTATTGTAGAGACTTAATTATTTCAACCAATGCAACACATACAAACTAGATTGAAAACCTGCCAGGTGAAAGAAAAACAGCAGAAAGACAAAAAGACTGTAACAGTATTTGTCATTAAAAGAAAATCAACTCTTTTATTGACAAATAATATTATGACGTTTTCTGAATATGAATTTCCAGACTCATTACTTGAGGTGATACATTCTTCTGTACAATTATACAGTGAATTGACTGAGGGTTGGGTTCAGCGTTAATACTTCAAATCTTTCTCTGTAAAGCCACTGAACTTGAGAGAGTTCTTCTGTTGTTTGACTTCTTCTGCAGATTGTGTGGACTTTTCTTGAAGCAAGCACCTAAAGCTGTCTAAAACAAATCACAATAAAGTAAATGCTACTCCAAAGTGGAATGCAATGCACTTGGATAGGCAATTTCCAAACAAAATTTGATTAAAAATACAATACTTAATGTTTTCACTTGCATATTATTGACTCTGATCAAATACCTTTCAGATTCACTGTGTTTTAATTATCTCCATTGGTATCCAAATTAAGACTTAAGACCCTTAATAAATGCTTCATGAACTTTCCTGTGACCTATAGTGGTCTTTCTGTATACCCATAATTGCTGAATCATCTTCGGAAATATGAAGTTGATGATCTTAAAAGGGTGTTTTATTACCTCCAGATCTGCTTCTGAATATCAGCAGGGAAGTTGGGAAAGTCCCATGAATGCTATTTACATGGAAATGGAAAAAAGAAAGCACTTGCAGTAGCTGCTATGCCACTCCATTCCCCCCCCCCCCACTCTCCGGCCATTTCCAGTTTCATGTAAGCTTGAAATGGGAAATGCTTCCCAGGGAGTGTGGAGGTACTCATTCCAACAGAGGCAGATCACAAATTATGAGTGAGGCCATGACATGATCCTGAAGGCCATGACATGATCCTGAAGGGTGATGACAATGGCAACCGACATGGACTGTTCCTAGGGTAAAGGGATTGACTTGTTATAAAATCAGCATTTCACTCTGTTTTGAGGTACTGAGACCTCTGAGGGACATGGCTCCTTATAAGATTACACTGGCCAGCACACATGTTGGTTCCTCAAATATAAGCCTTTTGTCTGGGTATATTTGACATGTTGATTCCAAAAAATGGCAGCAATTTTCCCCTATCAGATCTAGTTTTTGAGATATAGAGCAAATGCCATATATAATCTTCATCTGCTTGCCCATAAAAAATCATAACCATATCTAAGAAACTAGTGCTGATGTGGTCATGAGACTGCGCCTCTCTCTCCGCCCCTTTCTCCGCCTCTTTCTCCGTGCCAGCGTGGTTTTTCCTTTGCTAGGGCAGCATTGCCAGCGTACTCTCATTGTTGACAGAATTCAACAACGAGAGTAAGCTGGAAATGCTGCCCTAACAAAGGAAAAACTACTCTGGCACGGAGAAAGAGGCGGAGAAAGGGGCGGAGAGAGAGGTGGAGTCTCATGACGTCATGGACGTGCTAGCACAGTTTGCTCCCGCAGGAGGCTAGTTTGCGGTGGCTCTAAATGTGTCCATGAAAAATGAGTACAAAACAGCTGCCTAAAGTATTCTTAGACTTGCCTCACTAATTACACAGTTCTCTAAAATTGAAGTACAATGTGAAACTAGCACCACAATTTGGATAATATCCAATAAAATCACTTGTAGATGGTAAAACCTCTGCTAGGAGATGTACACTGAGGCTTGTGAGGTTTTTATTTTTACAGCTTTATAAGAGCAACAGAAGGTTCTGGGGAATTGCTGTGTGGTGTGTGTGTCTAGGAGCTATCTGGTTATCCTTGGTCAACTGGGGAAGAAAATGCAGCCATATTCCGTGAACAAGGGTGAAAATTCAGTGAATTTTAAGGCCATTGTAAACAGAGGATTTAAGTATGTGCTTCATGTTTGGAAACTTTGTGTAGCATACCAGCTGGTTATTGATTCTTGGGATGAGTGAACAGGGCAAGTATTCCACAGTTATTTAGTGTACTGGAAGGAATTGGATCTGAAATTGCTGACAAGGAAAAAGTGAGACGTGTTCTTCACGTCTCACTTTTCAAGCATTTGAAAGGGAAGATGACCAAGATGTTCATGAGCAAGATAAATCCAAAACAGAATGAGAACTGGGAATCCTCACATGACTGCTGGAGGCAGAAGAAAAAGCATGAACCCTGGACAAGGGTGGGAATGGATCTGAGATTATTGTCTCCAAGGAGGAGTCAGACAAAAATTCCTGCCATTATGGCTGCGCTTGAAATCACCATGTGCTCAGGCCTCCCGAATAATTGTACCAATACATAGTTGTAAACAGAAAGCTGGAGAGGTTCAGCCAGCCGCCTGAAAGGTCACACAAGAATCCAGGGCTTTGGGGCCAATAAATTGACAACTGAAGAGGTGTAGCCCTGATTGACTTAAGAGGGATTTGGGCGCCAACACCTGAGGCCCAGTAGGGTAACATCTCTTTTCCGTGTCAGTAGTGGGTGGCAACTGGTCCTGCTGTCATACTTTATCCAGGAATGCCAGCTAGGAAGTTACACGAAAGACTGAGAAACAAGCTGGAAGTGTGTGATCAAATGGAAGGATGCTGGCGTTGCTCCAGTTAAAATCTTACTTCTGGTGTGAACTAATAAATAAATGGCTTTCTGGAGGTGGGGTGGGGGGGATCTGTATTTCAGCCTTGCGGCAGGTCTGTTGTGTAGCGATAATAATACTCCATTATCATACAGGATTGCTTTAAGGACTACTTACATCATTTTGAGCTAATTTTAATATACACTGAAGCAGCATTTTACTTAAAAAGAGTAAAATGAAATGCTAGCGCTAATAATGTAGATTACTCATTGTGGCCTAAGTAACAGGCATCAGGGGTTTTAATTATTTTATAATGACACTGATAACCTAACATATTTAGTTATTGAGAATTATGTTGTTATTCACAGCTTCCTCAATTTTGTGTTTTAACTGAACTATGTCCTTTTCAGATTGGATGATGGAAGCATAGCTCTTATTGTCGTACAAAACACGTCCCGTCCAGAATTTGTTAAGCATCTAAAAAGATACAGTAGTGTGAAAAACCAGGTGAGGCTTACTCTTAACGTTTTCCAGCCCAGGATTATTTCCATGTAGTTTCCATCTGTATCCACTAAACAAAAAAGAAGAAAACAAGACAAAACAAGATGTCAAAAATATAACACAAAGAAAATAGACCTGTAAAGGTTTGACGTAGAAGTAAATGCACTCTAGGAGATGTCAGCGCCTTTGTAAGGCGACTTAGTTTCCTGTCAGAGTATATTAGCCCACTTTTATCTGATTTTTGAAAATCACCAATCAGACTAATACCGATTAACCTATTTCCGTCCATCTGTTGTGGTTTAGTTCTATGTGGTTCTTATATATAGGAACTACTACAGTGTAAAGCTGCTAAACTGATTGTAAAAAAACCAAATTTTGTTTTTAAATGTCAACTGCATTGAGATTAGAGGCAAATACGGACTCCTGGAATTTTGTCTATAAGAATTTTTAATTTTCACAGAACATGCACAGACAGCAGCTACAAAGGACAGTCAACACAGTGGCAAGAAGCAAAATAAATTTTCAAAGCTTTTACTCTCTTTTAGACATACACACAAAGCCAGCGTGCATCTCACCTGTGAAAAGGGAGCAAAAAACCTTCCTCTCATCATGGACCTTTCCACACTATTCAATTGAATCCTTTGATTCCATTTTAATGGGTACGGCAGCCTCTTACAGCTGTGTAGTTTGGTTAGAGGAAAATTCTCTGGTTGATGATTGTAAATGTTCCTCCACCAGAATTCATAGGATGGATCCATAGCAGTTCCATGATGGGATCATGATTGTGTCGCGTGGAAGTGGCCTTGGTGATAGATAGCATTTGCAGCAGTACTCCTACTGTTAACACTTCTTCTTTTTCAAGGAGGAAGGAAAAGAGAATTTTGTGGCACCTTTAAGACTAACCATTTCAATTCATTGTACATTTCTTTTGGCAGCAGTCCTCTTCTTTGAATGCGGTGGGCAGAAGTTCATAGAAAATTATGCTGAAACAAATGGGCTCATTTTCTTTCTAACATAAAAGTCCCTTTGAAAATTGGCTTTCCCCCTCTTGATTTTTTTAGCCTTCTGTTATAAAAATGCAGAACCCCATCATTTAATATCCCATATTTTTAGAATTGTGTAGAAGAAACCATATATGTCCAAAAGATTCTGGAAAAGTTGAATTATTTTTGAAGCCATTTGTGGCAGATGAGGATTTTGTATTTCTGTTTAAAGTTGTGTGCAGATCATTTGGGCTTCCAGGTTGATAGAGAATAATAATAATAAATAAATAATAAATTTATTTTTACCTCACTACCATCTCCTCAAAAGGACTCAGCGCAGCTCACAGAAGCACTTCAAGGTGATGCATATAAAACAAACAATACATAAGTATATACAACAACACATATGTGTGTAGACAACTAATACACATACATTTCCCGAGAAATCAGGAAAATAGTAGGTTATGTTGCTATGCTAACTGTATCTTGTTTGGCCCGACAGTTCCCTGGAAATGTTATACTTTTTGGTCATTTGAGACTGTTATCAGCTAAATTAAATTACTGGTCTGTATACATTCCAACCAGACCAAAAAATAAAATAGCTATTTGAATATTTTTTTGAAATGTTCAGTGTTGTATTCTTAATTGTTTGTCTTCTTTTTTTGTATGTTTAGTTCAATTTCCCTTTTATTGAAACTTATATCGTTGAAGAAGTAAAAGTCCACCTGAGAACTGAAACTGAGCATGCCATTGGTGGCGATCTGAATCCTGTAGATTCTGGAAAAAAGAACTATCCTTGGAACATAGATGGAGATTTATGGGAATGGCCATCTGAAGTTCATATTCGGTAGGAGAAAGTGTTTTCATGTTCAATGTTTAGTAGTCGCAACCTAGTCCATACTGCCAGTAGTTCTGATTTTAACATAAAAGATTTTGCATGTAATACTAACTTAAAGCTATCTTAGAGTTGCATTGGGTGAATGCACAAGCCAGAAGTGGCTGTTTTTTCCATCTGTGTTTCCTGTAGTATTTTCACCAATAATATGTTGAAGAACAAATGGCAGCAGATACCTGGGAGCCTGTTTACCAGCCCCTCCAGGTTTTCCCCTCCCAGACCTCTTCCTCTACAGTTAGTCAATGATAGTAATTGGCCACTGGATCAAATCTAATCATTATACTGGGAGATAACATTTCACCATAAGCAGAGCTATAGTGAAATAGCTTCTCCTCCTCCTCTGGGAATAACAGAAGTTGCCAGGAACAGCTCTTCCCACTAGCCATTGGGATATACTCTGAAGCCATCCACCTGTCCATGCTTATATATAGTAAATCACCTCCTGGATTCTAGCATCTTGTCTCCAAATTAAAACTACAAACAGTTAGCTATCCTAATAGTTCTAGATTGTTTTTCTTATAAGATCTAGAAAGCATGTAATGAAAGGGACTCTAGAAACATCTGGGGGGCAAGAGGTTGAGAAACAATGATACAGAACTATATGTAGTTATTACATTTGATATGGAGTTATTACATTTGATATGATGCTGGAGTCAATTTTTGCTTGCTCCATGTGTTATGGGCTTTGAAAAGAGCTAGGAAACATTACTCTTTTGGCTCTGGTTCTCCTGGACTGTATCTCCATTGTCAAATTAAAGCAGTCGGATTCCACTTTAACTGTCATGGCTCAATGATATGGAACCTTGGGTATAGTTTGACACTCTCTGGCACAGAAGGCTGAAGACCTTGTAAAACTGTTAATTCCCATGATTCCATAGGACTGAGCCACAGAGCTAAAATAGTGTCAAACTGCATTAATTTGACAGTGTATATTGCATGCCAAACTAGAATAAAAATGTCTGCTGGCTGAGAATTCCAGAAATTGCAAACAAAAAAAATAACATTTCCAAGTTTTTGAACTAACATTTGTGATAGGCATAAGCAGACAGTTTTGATCTGATTAACCTGCAGTTTGGATTGGCCAGGGCAGACTGGCATGGCCCACGTGTTACTAGAAGTATGTTGGGCTTAGTATTTCAGGTTTTTTTTTTCATGATGGGTTATTTGTTTAAACTGTGGGAAGTTAAGTTCTTGCAATCATAAAATTAAGTGGATTCTTTGTGTAAATAAGTGCCAAGATAAAACGTTATATTAAAACTAACAGTGGTAATAGATTCTCTTTATTCTTTTCCCATTTTAGGGCACATCCACAGTTAATTACGCTATATGGAGAGAATGTTAATACAGTGGATAATCCGAAAGAATCATGCAGCTGTCTTTAGATAAAATATATCTAAATAAATCACTCATTTCTCAGCTAAATCATGTTTTTATCTTGAGTATTCAGCGGTATGGGAGAAAATGGTCTAGACTGAAATCCATGCCTCTTTAATGCAGTTTCCCAGTGGATCATCTACCAGAGACATTCTAGATTTCCTTCCTTTTCACTAATTCCGGAGGATTTTTTTATGTCCTGCACTGACCACTATGTGAATCTTTACTCAGTCAAAAAACTATTCCATTGCAATAAAAAAAATATGGAGAAGAGATTTTAAAAAACAACATTTCAGGTGCTTTTCACTTTTGTGATGAAAAGAAGCATAGAGGAGATATTTAGAAAATTGGACTTAAATGGTTTGATGAAGTAAAAATGTTGAAATGTTCTTTAAGTATATGACTTTGATTCCTAATAAATGACAAATACAATTGCATGTGTTTAAGTATGCATTATTCAAGCATTAAAAATCTTTCAGAACTATGTTCAAGAAAGTTCATTCTTTGCTCTGAAGATTTCGCTTCATTTAAGTTTAGTTTTTTTAGAAATACCCAGTCTTCATGCATTATCCAGCTATTGCCCAAGTGGTTTTTGCATAGGTACAACATGGATTTACAAGACCAGAGCAAGGACCTTGATGACAGAATGATCTGGAGGTCTCCCCTTCATAAAGTAACCATAAGTCGAAAGTGACTTGATGGCAGTTAATAACAAATAAGCAAATGAAGTATTTTATACCATGACAGTAGTTGTGCAGTTCAATCTTCAAGGGGAAAAAAACAGACTTGACATACAGTTGCTGTGAGAAGCATTCTCTCCTGATGTTTCACCCACATCTATGGCAGGCATCCTCAGAGGTTTTGAAGGAAACTAGGCAAATGGAGTTTATGTATCTGTGGAATAATGTCCAGGGTGGGAGAAAGAACTCTTGTCCGTTTGAGGCAAGTGTGAATGTTGTTATTGGCCACCTTGATTGGCATTGAATAGCCTTGCTTTGAAGATGCAAGGCTATTCAATTCTAATTAAGCCGGCCAAACTATAATTTTATATGCATGAAGAGATCCGTGGATACTGGGGATCCCCAACATTGGGAACTGGGGTAACCACAGGGACAACGGCTCACAAAGGGGTTAGTTGGGATGCAGGGAAATTACCTAGAGGGGGAAAGAAGGAATGGAGCCTTGCTCCAAGGGCCATGGGGGGCTATGGGGCCATGTGGTTACCAGGGCTGGCTACAAGAGGCGAAAGGGAGAGAAGGACACAGGAGGCAAGGAAGAGACAAAGAATCAAATATAGAGGATAATGCACCATAGTGCACATTTATTAAAAGGTTATCTATATCTATATCTTTACATATAATAAAAGTGAATGTTTGTATGTACGTGGCAGCTTTCGGATTGGCTGCCACTTTCACAGGCCACTGTGACCTGCACGAGCGACGGACCTGGGCCAAACATGGCACACACAAACCCAATGACCCACTTTACATCTTGGTGTGGTTTGGGGAATGTGGACCACGGATTATGGGATCTGTAGTACTTTAAAATACTTGGGCACCCACAGACTACTGTGGTCCCCACCAATGACAGATCAAGACCAAACTTGGCACACAGATCCCCCATGACCCACTCTACATCCTGGTGAGGTTTGGGGGAGGACAGAACATGGATAATGGGATTTGCAGTACCTTCACTCACTTCCTGAGACCATTGTGATCCACACTAATGACTGATAAAGACCAAACTTGGCACACAGAGCCCCCATGACCCACTCTACAGCCTGGTGTGGTTTCGGGTAGGATGCACCATGAACGATGGGACATGCAGTACCTTCACTCACTTCCTGAGACCACTGTGGCCCAAACCAATGACAGATGAGGACCAAACTTGGCACAGAGTCCCCATGAACCACTTTACATCCTGGTATGTTTTAGGGGATGACGGGCCATTGATGATGGGATTTGCAGTACTTTCACTCACTTCAAGAGACCACTGTGACCCACACCACTGACTGATCAACACCAAACTTGGCACACAGAGCCCCTATGATCCACTCTACATCCTGGTGCAGTTCTGAGGAGGAAAGACCATGGATGAAAGGACTTGCAGTAACTTCACAAACTTCCTGAGACCACTGCAAACCAAACAAATGACAGATCAGGACCAAACTTGGCACACAGAGCCTCCATGACCCACTCTACATCCTGGTACAGTTTGGAGGAGGATGGACCATGGATAATGGGACTAACAGTACCTTCACTCACTTCGTGAGATCACTTCAACCTTCATCCAATGACTTATCAAGACCAAACAGAGCCCCCATGACCTACTCTACATACTGGTGTGGTTTGGAGGAGGATGGATGATGGAACTTGCATATGGGAGTTGTAATTCACCCACACCCACTGAACCCAGCTGACATTGGATCTAGACTAAACTTGGAGCATAGAAAAACAATGCCTTTCTCAAATAACCCAAGCTAGTTTTGTAATAAAAAGGGGAGGATAGAATGTATCCAAGGTGCTGGTAGCTGCTGCTGGGCTCCTCCATATCTCTGATCTCTTGCAGAACTGATTCCCACATGGCTCCAGGCTCTTGCTCTCTTCAGCTTCTCCTGGTTCCATCAATATAATTTTATTATTAATTTGACCCGGGAGGGGGGTGTCGATGCTCAACATCAATTACATGACATTTCTCTCTGTGCAGGATCTTGGCTCATGTATATTTGATGTGGAAAGAAAAAAGTAATAAAAATAATTTTTATTATGATGTTCCATATTGGTTTATAATACCATTGCTTGCTATATTTATAACCTGATTAGCTGATTACAATGGCTGTGAGGTAATGTGCTCTTAAGTTCAAGTATGAGCAGTCCTTGTCAAATTCTTCCACTTACCAAAAAGATTTTTTTCTCTAGTGTTAAAACTCAGTCTGTTTTTCTTTGCTCTTCAAGCCAGAGATGATTCATCTCACTATCACAATTATTCCTCAGACATTTGTATTTCAAGACACTTATGAGGATGCCATCAATCTTCCACTCAGCTAAATCCAAAGAGTATAGATTGGCTTGAGGATTCTTGCAATTAACAGATTCTTTGGTCAAATGTCTGTATTAAGCAAGCAAATTGTCATTCATCCTTGGTATCGTTTGGGTCACTGTTTATGAAGCTCCAACTCTCTCTTCCATTTTGTTCTTGAGGGAGATGTTTGTATTTTCTCTTAAAGAAACCAACCTGGAATATACAATTTCAGAACTGAAATGTCAGCAAACACATAATGTTGGTAAAATATAATACAAAAATGGTTAAAATCAACGTACCAAATTTCATCTCATAGTAGTCAAGTTTTATCCCTTTTTTGGAAAAAGGGGGCGCAACTATTACACAATGAAAAAAATTGTCTTTGATTCTACCTTACCTTTGAGAAGTTGGAGAAGAAATGATCATCCAGCCTTAAAACAGCTGTTTTAAAAATTGCTTTGACAAGGAGGAAGGAGGATCTCCCCTCCCTTCTTCCTTTCTCCAAATGCAAGGCATTTTATAAAATCTGAAATGAAGCTCTTTGGTGGAAGGAGAAGATCCAAGTTCCAGCAACCTCAATTTCAGGTTTTTTAAAAACCGCCTTAAGGCCTCTGAGGAAGGAGGGAAGAGAAGAGCTCCAGAGATATCCATTTCATAGTTTCTGAACTGCCTTGCCTTCAGAGGAAGGAGGCGGAATCAGCTCTGCAACTATTATGTGAGGAACAAAAATATATCAATTTTGCCACTCCAAAAATGGGGATGCAACTAATACATGGTGATAACTATTATGTGATGAAATAGGGGAAACTGTAAGCACTTTTACACTAATTGATTATTAGACATTTAAGTAAGGAAAGTAAGGGTTCTGAGCTTCATGTGAATTGTACCTAGTATTGTTAAGCATTGGCAACTGGTGATTTCTATTTCAATGTGGTGGTAAATCTACTCTGGCTTTTGTTAGGTGCTATCTGTTGGAACTCAACCCCACACTATCCAAATCTCAAGTCCTCTATGAGGACCAGTTAATTTAGTATAGACCAAGGGTTTCCCTTCCTCCATGTCTCCTGGATGACAGTTGGAAATGTATCTATTTCTTCTCCCCTCTCTGTTTCTGCTCTCATTCTGATTGGTTGTGTAAAATGGATTTATTTCTACTGCAGGCTTTTTAAAAATCTGATTTTAGTTTCTTACATTGGAGTATGTGCTGTGAGCTTTGAGATCACTCTCTGCGTGTGTGTCAGAAAGATGTAGTGATTGCTGTTTCCCCCCTTTTTGAAACCTTAGAAGAGATGGGTGTTAAGAGTAGCTCAGACCCAGTTCTTTCAGTATTAAGAAATGTAGTTAGTTCTTTAGTATTGTAAATAAACCTGTAATTTTTAAGATTGAATTCTGCATCTTTGCCTGCCTAAGCTCTTAAGCTCTTAATTTTTTACAGCCATCATACAGAACCTCACACTTTGCTAGCTGTGAGCTGATTGCTCAACTTTTTGCATCCTGTTCGATTTTTGGATGATCTGCTATAATTTTGAGTTTTTCCAAACACTATCCAAGGTATTGCATAGGGGTGGGGTGCGGAGATCTCCCTCAAAGTGAAGTCTACAACAGATTATGAAGCCACCAGCTGGATGTTAAGTATAAATTTGTACCTTATTGTCATTTTTTCACAGAATGTCTTTGAAATACATTTATTGAAATAAGATGGTGCCATTTCTTTGGAAGGTGTCCACTTTAACATAGTGTGAAGTAATCATATTGTTAAGGAGATAGAATTAAACCAAAACCACCGCCTAATCAGTGTGACTGCTTTGAAAAGAAGGCTAGGCTGAATAATCAAGGTTGACATAAGTTGGAGCTGAAAGCATTTAAGACCAATAAACCTTTCAGAAGGAATCCAGCCTCCACACAATGCTCCAGTGGTCCTTTCGAGTTCCTTTATGTCCACTATGAAATGTAAATGATGAGAATTTTCACTAGTTTTCAACAATTGAGATTGAACTCCATTTTAATCTTTTTCAGGGTCTGATTATGTTAGACATTGAACTAAAAATATTTTCCCTCCTTTTTAAAATGCTTTCTCCTCTTTGAATCACCTAGGAGTATAAACCCACCAATTTAAAAACTCTCTGTACTATTATACATTAGTCGTATATTGTTAGACTTGAAAAAAATGAAACACAAAAACAAGAATATTTCAATGAGATACAATAAAGGCAAAAACAAAACAAAAATATAAAAATAGAGAATAACGTGCATACCTTCCATAAGAGAAATGCAAGAACTAAAAGCAAAAGAATTCCAACTACTGAACCCATTCCAATAAAGAGCAGTGTAACACTCGTTTTTGTCTTTTGATTATGAAGCCCCTCTAGAATGACCTGCACAAAAGAAGGTAAACACAGTAAAATAGACATAACTTCAGAATGATTCTTGAGAGAGTCTAGCCATAGTTTCCCTAAAAGCACAAAATATGTGAACTTGTTTGATCTGGCTGCCTTTTAGCCACATACATCAATGGTCTTAGGGATCTTAATCATTCCTTATTTAAGCAGCAATGCCTTCAAGATGTGCTTAGACTTTGAGGGTAATTAATACACAGTAAAGTGCAAGCCAAGTATGATGCCTACAATATTATTAAATTCTCCAACTTATTGCATATTCTCATTCATGAACCTGGCCCCAAAAAACTGGGTCAACTTGTCCATGAGTCAGTATAAGCACTCTTATCAGAAAAGTTATCATCCCTTTCCTCACCCAGAGGACCTTTTCATCAGAGGACCCCAAGACTGTGGAACAACCTGTCGGAAGAGCTCTTGACAGCTAAATCAGCTGTCAGAATATAAGACGAAACTTAAGACCTATCTCTTCTGGCAGACCTACTCAGTCCATTTTAACTATTTATTATTATTTATTTATTTAAAACTTTTATATCCCGATTTTCTCTACCTTTGTAGAGGGACTCAGACGGGCTAACAGCAAGAATTCAATGCTAAACAGTTAAAATCTTAAAACAACATATAACAACAGTAAATTAACAATACATATAAAATAAATACACATAAAAGACATTCGCCAAGATAAAAACATGTCCAACTCAGTCTGTACATTCAGTCCATGTATTGTGGTCAATACTTTGGTTGATTGTTGGCCTCACCCATCATTCTGCAAAGGCCTCGTTCCACAGTCAGGTTTTTACTAGCTTCCTAAAGGTCAGGAGGGAGGGGGCAGATCTAATTTCCTTCAGGAGGGAATTCCATAGCCAGGGGGCCACCACAGAAAAGGAGCTGTCTCTCGTACCCACAAGACGTGACTGTGAAGGTGGCAGGACCGAGAGCAGGGCCTCTCCAGACGATCTTAATGCTCTTGATGGTTCATAGGGGAGAATACGTTTGGACAGGTAAACTGGGCTGGAATCGTATAGGCTTTTAAACCACATTCTATGTTTATGGTGTTTTAACTTTTGTTTCAGGTATTGTACTATATTTATGTTTTAAGCCCCATACTCTCAAGCTAGCACTCCCTCTAGCACTAGCTTTTAATTCAAAATTATGCTTGTATGTCAAAGCTAAACACAAGCCAGGTGACGGCTTGTAACTCAAAATGCTTGTAAGTATGTATACTCATAAGTCAAGATTCCACTGTATCCCTTTTCCTCCTCCTGTAATCACTGGAAAAAACCAAAGGAGGTCAAAAGTGGCTTCTGCCAAGGGCCCCATCTATACTGATCATTTAATGCAAAGTGCTCTGTGGTTTGTATAATCACCATCCGGACCTCAAACTGATTCCAGGATTTTCTATGTAATCATCTGCACAGCAAAACCACTTTCTTTGATTCTGGTTTGAAATCGACTTACAATGGTCAGTGTAGATGTGCTCAAGATGAAACTGTTATACCTGGTCACTCTGCTCCCTCTTCTACTGCATGATTCCCAGTCACCAGTTTACCCACTGTTCAGGAATAAACCCCCTTCTAACATTTGTGTAGCTTGGCTGTAGGCGTTTGCAGCTTAAATATAAGCTTGACCATTTTCTTTTATCAGCTAGCCAGTGATAATTTGTGTAATTCATAAAGTAAGTACATGGAGAACTAAAAAAAACAACCCCGGATGTATGGTTTTGTTTTGAAATGTAATTAACTGAAATCTTCAGCCATTAATTCTAAACATGGTTCTTTTATTTACAAATACTTACATATGCTATTTGCTTGCTCTTGTACAGTTCAATGACTTTTGGGTTCTGATCTGCTGAAACTTTCCCTTTTATCTCAAATATAAGCGTAGAAGCTTCACCCTGTTTTTCAAAAGATAAAGAACACTGAAATTTACAAATGAGAACAAATGAGAGCATACATGGAATACTTGGTAGGGATTAAGCAGCTGAATTTGCTTGGAAAATGACTAAACATGGTAAATGTGCCACGAGGATAAGTGAGCAAGAAATGTACTTATTTATTTATTATTAAATCCAGATTCACAAATTTTAAGAACTGTTAAAAGTATGGAATTAATTTTCTGCCACTAAGAGCAATGGAATGTATATTACTAACTGAAATATCCAGTGATCAGAAATACATATCCATACTTCCAAAATGATAGTCCGAGGATTAAAATAATTACCATCTCTAGCAGTGAAGGAGTTGCTTCTAGGTGAATTTGAACAGTTGCTTCTTTTCCACTTTCCATGTCTCCAAAGTTACAAAGTATTTGCAAACAGAACGGATCATTTTTCATGCAGTACTTGAGAAAAAAGAGAAAAAAACATACATACATGAAGCTACTATTAATGTCTTTAAAGATATTGCTTTAAACCAAATGTTTGGGAACACTCATTACAATTTCTAAGTAATGTAGATCAGCTGTTCAAATGAGGATTTAAGAAAACAAATCAAACAGATTTATTTGTATCATTTGAGTAAAATCCTGAGGAATCTTATCGTCTAAATATCTAATGCTTCTGAACATCAGTGAAATCAGGTTGTTGTGAGTTTTCTAGGTTATCTGGCCATGTTCCAGAAGCATTCTCTCCTGACATTTCACCCATATCTATGGCAGGCGTCCTCAGAGGTGGAGCTCCCGGTGGCATAATGGGTTAAACCCTTGTATCCAGGACTGAAGAACGACAGGTCGGAGGTTTGAATCCGGGGAGAGCACAGAGCTCCCGTTGTCAGCTTGAGCTCCCCATGCGGAGACTTGAGAGAAGCCTCCCACAAGGATGGTAAAACATTAAAAATATCTGGGCGTCCCCTGGGGAACATCCTTGCAGACAGCCAATTCTCTCACACCAGAAGCGACTTGCAGTTTCTCAGGTCGCTCCTGACATGAAAAAAATCCTCTGAGGTTGTGAGATCTGTTGGAAACTAGGCAAGTGGAATGTATCTGTGGAAGGTCCAGGGTGGGAGAACTCTCGCCTGTTTGAGGCAAGTGTGAATGTTGCAAGTGTGAAGGAAGCAGCCAGGCTTTGAAGCTGCAAGGCTATTCAATGCTAATTAAGGTGGCCAATTGCAACATTTACACTTGCCTCAAGCAGACAAGAGTTCTTTCTCCCATCCTGGACATTCCAAAGACATATAAACTTCACTCGCCTAGTTTCCAACAGACCTCACAACCTCTGAGGATACCTGCCATAGATGTGGGGGAAACATCAGCAGAGAATGCTTCTGGTACATGGCCAGTCAGCCCAGAAAACTCAAAGCAAGCCAGTGATTCCAGCCATGAAAGCCTTCGACAACACATCAGTGAAATTGCTTATTGGTAAATATCTAAGGTGAAAGGTCAGTCTGAAGGCATGGACTCAGATTAAGACCTGACAGCATCATAACCAGAAAGGGCCCAACATAGTAATTATTTTTTATGAACTGATGAAAGAAAGTGTACAATATTTACATTTGAAATGCCTTTATGTCTATATACAAATCATCAGCTCTGAGTGCTTCAGACGCTCTTGTTTTATTTCTCTCTGAGTGTGCATGCATGTTGAATTCAAGAAAATATGACTTGGAAATACAATCAGTCGTAAGCATTATTTTTAAATCCAATTTTTAAATTAAGCAAAGAGTTCCATTTCTAGGGGCACTTCCTCACAGCCCTATATCCCAGAATATCAAGGCAAAAAAATCCCAAAATATCTGTTTTGAACTGGGTTATCTGAGTCCACATTCAGATAATGGAGTTTTCTGCCTTGACATTCTGGGATATAGGGCTGTGTGGAAGGGTCCTAGTACTAGGATTAGTACTAGCCAAGCAGTTCAATCTTTAATTTTAACTATTATTTTTAAAAGAACTGTAAACGTATATGGAATGAAATAGCAACATTACCAGCAGTCTTTTGTCAAGTTTGGTGAGGAATGTAACAAGCTCTTGCAGCATATTTGCATTTTTTTCTGGTAAAGTACATTCTCGGGTATGATTTTGATAGATACACTGTCCAACAGTTGTCTGAAAATGAACCAAAACACAATTATATGAGGATTTCGGATGCTGAGCGATGCAGATGCTTCTAGAGCATGCACTGTCATCCTGAACACACTTAATGAGAAACAAATTTCAGAATCTTAATAAAACTTATTATATTAAAATTTAAACACAGGAAAAAAATAGCAAACAGAGGGATTTTTCAGTTTTGCTTGGATGTGAGGGTTATATTTTTAACCACCCAGATCTGGTAAGACATATGTTGTTGTTATGACAGGCATACCCACCCAGCTGTTATTTATTGGTGCTCTGTGCCATGAGACATAATCGTGGTAAAGAATTCTTCTCAAGACTTAATTAGGACTTTTGTACTGCATCTCACATAGATGAAGAAAGACCTAAACAGCTTCAAAAAAGATGACTGGAGCCACCAGAAAAACTGTTGCTGTACTGAAGGAATCTGCTACATGGCAAAGGTCTTGTGTGGTGCTGCAACTCTATCCACACAATGGGAACTTTTTTTTTAATTACTAGCCATCCCCTACCACGCATTGCTGTGGCCCAGTTTGTGTCTATGTATTTTTTGTGTGTGTATATGTGTATATATTTATGTATATGTGCATATATGTGTGTTTGTGTATATATGTGGCTTTGCACATGCGTTGTAATGTATTTTTATTTTTTGTTTTTAAGTCTCTCCTGCTGTGTTTTTCAGTGTTTTTATGAGTGATGGTCACTCATTGGCCAGATGGGTGTATTGTGTCCAAATTTGGTGTCAATTCGTCCAGTGGTTTTGAGTTATGTTAATCCCACAAACGAACGTTGCATTTTTATTTATATAGATTTACTGCATTTATATCCTGCCCTTCTAACCCCGAAGGGGACTCAGGCGGCTCACACCAAGGCACAATTCAATGCCAAACGTACATATAGAGAAAAAATCATATACTTTAAAATCACACAATTAAAACATATCAATCTTAAAACCATTATTTAAAAAGCATTTTTGAAAACATTTTTAAAACCAATTTTTAAAGTGGTATGAATATTTATCAGATTATATGCCTCAAAAGCACATCACTGGAAAGAACATTAAATATGCGAATAGACATCTTAGGAGAACTGGAAGTTGAAATGGAAAGGGCTTATAGCCAGAGTAAAAGGGAAAGGAAAAATATAAGGAATTGAATCAGACAATCTTCACGATCGAACAAATAAAATAATACAAAGAGAAGACGTACAACTGTTTCCAGAGGGAGGGAGAAGAGAGGAAGAGGGAAGGGAAAAATTGGATATGTATAAGTGGCAGATAAGTATATAAATGTAAAGGAAAGGGAAGCAGAAATCATCAGAATGGTATGAGAACACATGGGATTTTTTTTTTGTAACGGTGACTGTGATAATGTTGTAATTTTCTTACATAACTCTCTCTCTCTCTTATACACACACACACACACACACAAACAGAACCTCTATCTATGCTGGTCATACATATGAAACCTTCCGAATTGTACAATTTTGACACAACACTAGTATCTTCCATTTCTTGTCCGATACTATCCTATCATTGACCCTTTCCCTTTTCTTCCCTTTTATGGCATGGGTTGTGAAACTAAGCCACTACATTCTTAAAAAAGAGATCACATAAAGGATCGTTGGACAATAGTTTTAATGTTGACACATTTGCCACCATTAGTGCTTGCACTAGGAATCCTTCCCTTTTCCCCTGAAAATAAGACCTAGTAGAGGTTTTGCTGAATTGCTGAATATAAGGCCTTCCCTGAAAGTAAGACCTAGCAAAGTTTTTGTTTGGAAGCATGCTCCCCCTGGAGGCCGGAAGGTGCAATACGGTCCCTGCTGTGCAAGTGGTCCAGGAACTGCTGTGGGAGATTGTTAGTCTCCAGACAGTATGTGGGAGCCAGGTACTTTACAACGGTCCTGTGTGTGAGGTCCAGTATATTTATTATATACTGCAAATTACTGTACAGTATATAATAAATGTTATTTTTCAACAATAAATGAATTATTCATGGAAAAACAAGACATCCCCTGAAAATAAGACCTAGAGTATCTTTGGGAGAAAAATTAATATAAGACACTGTCTTATTTTCAGGGAAACAAGGTATGGGCTCACTCAACACGTGCCAGTTAGGACAGAAGGCTGAAAGAGGAAACTGTCAGCATTGCAGGCCAGCTAATAACCATCTCAAGGTTGAATCTTCCCATCCAGCCCAAGATTCATTTGAAAAACAACCATCTTCTTTCTTCTATAAAGTCAGGGAGATCTCTTCTTAAACAACTCAACTCATTCTGATCTTTTAGATTGCTCACAGGAGCCCTAACCATATCTTCCCATCTACTACTGCTACATTCACTGCTTGCCAAGGGCGGCATCTAACAAAAACTCAGAGTGCATCCATGCTGCAGAATTAATGCAGTTTGATACCACTTTATATACCATGACTCAATATTATAGACCTATGAGAGCTATAGTTTTACAAGGTCTCTAGTATTCTTTGCCATATAGTGCTGGTGCCCCACAAAACTACAACTCCCATAGCATTGTGACATGACAGTTAAAGTAGTATCAACTGCATTAATTCTACAGTGTAGATGCACCTCAGTTGTGGATACAGCAATTTCTAGATGTAGCAACTGTTTCCTGCACAAAGATAACATACAGGAAACATGGAATGCTATGGTGCCACATACTGAATTACAAACGAGGAACACGCATTACCTTGACATCCAGAATATTAAACAGTTTGATGTTGTTTGGTACAAAAGAATTGGGAATCTGTATCATCAAGTCTACAGCAGGAGCCAAGCTTAGACCGGGATTACTAACCTGAGAAGTAAAATACACAGTGATTATGGCTGAAACTTTTCTTAAATTGGGATTCAAACCAAACTTCCAAACATTCTTTCAAAACATTAAAATCTTAAAAAGGAAGTTCCAGCATTCTATTACACTACGTAACTCTATTTTTGTTCCTGGGTTATAAATGTCATTTCCTAATTGGTTCTATTACAATAACATGGAAAAAGTTTATTAAACTGCCAAAACTTTGTTATTGTGTGATATCCTGCGGAATATTTCACTATATTTTTTAATGAATATCTCATGGAGTCTCAACTTATTCAACATAATTTGAGGCTGCCACAAAGTTTCTGAGGGATAACAAAGACTTTCAAAGTAAGTAACTCACAATTAAACGGGAATAACACTTTCAAACCAGGAACAGATCATTTAAATTTTTTTGTTACATAGTGTCATTGTTGAAGATGAAACGTAAGGATTGAAAATGTGCAGATAGGTACAGATATTCAAATGGTTTCTTTACAAGCAAGGTACGTCATTAACTAAAGTACTTGTAACTGAAAAAGTGTAATTGACATTTTTTCATAGTAATATTGAAGAAGTATGTTTATTTTCAGGCAAAGGATTCTTAAAATCCTTTGCATAGGATGCACAGCTCTCCAAGACAACTTGAATCACTTTCTGAGAGAAAGGTGGGATAAAAATCCACTATATACAAGGAAATAAATAACCAGTCTATACACAGATTTCAATTGGTCTCTGAACTTGGATAAAACAGATTACTTTCAATAAGCATTCAAACTGAATGTTATCATTTTCTTTTATTATGAATATTTATTTATTTATTTACCACACTTGTACACTTTTCACTCAGGCTGGCCTTACAAAGGCAACAATTTGATGCCGCGTATACTTATACATATCGATAAACAAAAGCACTAAAATCCAAACCAATTAAAACATAAACATTAAAACATAAATTTAAATCACACAATCCAAGCCATATTCCAGGGCTGATCTGAGTCGTCATTATGTTAATTTGTAGTCTCTTATTGCACTGTTCCCATTTACTGACCAAAAGCTTAGTCCCAAAGCCATGTTTTTAGTTTTTTCCTGAAGGTCAGGAGGGAGGGTGCTGGTCTAATTTTACTGGGAGGCAGCTCTATAGATGACGGGCCACCACTGAGAAGGCCTTGCCTCTCGTCCCCACCAACTGCACCCAAGGAGGTGGGACCAAGAGCAGGGCCTCCCTAAAAGACCTTAACCTCCGAGATGCATCATGGGGGAAATAAGTTCAGACAGGCAAGCTGGGCCTGAACTGGTAGCCAACAAAATCACAGTAGTGACAGCAATACTAATGATTCTGGGTGCATCTGCACTATAGAATTGATGCAGTTTGACACTACATTGACTGCAAAGGCTTAATGCAATGGAATCAGGAGAGGTAGTTTGGTGAGGCAACAGCACTCTTCGGCAGAAAAGGTGAAAGACCTTTTAAAACTACAGCTCCCATGATTCCATAGCATTAAGCCACAGCAGTTAAAGTGGTGTCAAACTGTATTCTACAGTGCTGATGCACTCTCCATTACTAATACAAATTATATTCACATTATGTTATGTCTGTTGCTGATATCATGAAATACTATTTATCTCCATGTCAAGGGGAGAAAGGTTAAGATCTCCTAGAAAAAGATACATTGCAACATTGCTGAGTAAGGGGCCTAAGTGGGACTAAATTTATTTAATTGGCTTTTTAGCAAAAGTCCTCCTCGTATCTCGCTCATGTCAAATTTCCCTTTGACTGAATTTTGCTTTTCAAAAGGTGCTAATAAAGGAAAACGCTCTCTGAAAGAATCACCTCTTACATGGAAAGTGAAGTTGAACATCTCCTTCATGCAAGTAACAGGGGGGTTTTCATCACTGGGCCCATAAACAAATGATGTCGGTGTAACAGACCTAAAAAAAAAAAACAGGTATTTTCCCAAATTATTCCAAATCCAATGATCTTGTAAGAAATATGCTTACTTGTAAAATGTCAGCATCGACCCATAATGATGCACCAATTGATGCACAGTTCATGAAAACACAATAATTTGCAGCATGCTGAAATCTTAAAATCCCGAGATGAAGTGAGCTCTGTAACTATACAGCTTTCTAGTTCTGAAGCAGCCCTGTATTGGTGAATATTCATGAGCTTACCCATGAGCATTCAGTTCCACTTCATGCTTCTGAGGTAGTGTTAAAGTTAAGCTGTTATCCAACAGCAGGTCGCTACTCACTTCATTTTCACTATGGAAGAAAATAAGCATCACAGAGCATTACAGTTCACGCTTGGTTAGCATTTTGCACAAAATACAACTGACAATTAGGAGATTAGCGGTGGAAAGAATTGAGGCCCATATACACTGTCATATAATGCATGTTAACTGCATCGATCTGGATTATATGAGTCTACACTGCCATATAACCTAGTACAATGCAGTTAAACTGCCTTATATGACTGTAGATAGGGCTGTAAAAACCCATTTAAGTGAAACTCTAAATTAGAGACTACAGGATTCTGTAAGACACAGCCATGACAACTAAACTCGAATTGAAGCACTATAAATGTGCAGTGTGAATAGGCTCCTGGACTGGCGAGAATCTTCATAATTTGGGATGTATTTTGTGTCAGTTTTACACATTGTTGTTCTATACAGAAAGGCAACATTTTCCCTGGATGAAATATTTTATGGTCAGAAAATAATATGTCTTCACAGAAAATGCATCAACTGGGGACTTGTTATATACAGAATTCACATATGGTTATTATGCCTAGGAAATAGCATTTTGTACACAGCAAATAATATTCTTTTTCTGCACAGAATTTTTGGTTTTTTTTTTAGTAAAAAGAACCAGGTGCCATTTTTGCAACACCCGCTTTGAGTCACCTGAGGGCTGAGAAAAGCGGTATATAAATAAAGTAAATAAATAAATCCCAGACTGAAAATACTCATAGAAATTTGTGCAATTTTCAATCACATTCTCTGAGCAAAAATAAAACTTCTAAAATTATTGTTTCCTTTGAAAAGAAAAAAAAAGAAAAAAATTTTATCTAGCCACAGATAAATCAGATTTGATCTCTCTTTCTTCTGATAGAAGAATTAAGCACATTTAGGTTAAAGCTACAGTCTCATTTTGCAAAGTAAACCAAACAGCTTCTTTTTGGTTTTTATGAGATTCCACAGACTAAGTGATAGTCACTTTAAATGCAAAGACATTGTTAAACCAAGAGAGAAAGCTTTGGGAAATAACTCTTACCAAGTTGTGTTAATACTGATGGTGAGGTCATCTCCTGCCCTGCTAAGAGAGCTTGCATCCAACACAAAAATAAAATCCATCTGTGGAATAAATGAAATGTGTTAGGGTGAAATGAATTTGTCTTTTTTATTCAGAAAATATATTCTAGATTATTCCAGGAACATAAGCCATAGAAATAGTATTGATGTTCAAATCAATATGTTGTCATCATCAGTTCAGTCTTTAATAGGCATGATACTAATGAACTTAATAGAAACCAGTTCATAATAATAATAATAATAATAATAATAATAATAATAATAGGCAGTATTTATACCTCATCCTTCTTATCCCAAGGGGACTCAGAGTGGCTTACAGAAAGCACGCATGGCAAAAATTCAATGCCGATTATACAATTAATAAGGACAGACAACACAAACAGAGGTAAAGGCAATTTTTCTCATCTTATTTCTGGCATCTTGGTGGCTATGCTCGACTCTGGCCACAGGGAAGTACTGTTGCTCCATCTTCCATGCCAATGTTTTAAAGGGCGCCTTTATTGCCTCCCTGCTAACCCTATTTTATCTACTCGTGTTTCTGCTTTCAACCTGCTAGGTGGGTAGGTGAGCTGGGGCTAACGGCAGGTGTTCACCTAAACCCTGACTCAAACTACCGACCTTTTGATTGACAGGATTATTCTGCAGCACGGTGGTTTAGCCTGCTGTGCTAAGCTTGGCCCCATAATTACGGTTATGATTGTTGCTTGTATGTACTTCAGTATACCTGCCTTTGTGTGGCTTCATCTATACCAAATACCTTTTTGATTGCATAGTAAATATCTATATCTACAGATTTCATCACTCTGAGGTTTTCCACCATTTGCATACATTTCCAAGACAGTGTCCCACAGATCCCATCAAGCAATGCATGTCCCATTCCATAGCTTGCCCATGGGGCTGCGTCTCAGCAGCGTGTAGAAACAGGTGGATTTAAAAGATGGGCAGCAATGGACTCCACTCCTCTTCCTGAGTATGCTGAAAAACAGGTAATTTTTTTACTTGGGATGGGAAGTGGTGGATTTGTCCATTTACACTCCATTGTGTGACATTTGAGTGTGGGTGTTGGTATCTGTTAATGCCCCCCAATGCCCCTTCTGTCACCATTAGCTATTTAAAGATGGTGTGGGTCCTATTGAAAGAAGTGTTTTAAAAGTGTGCTGGTCTCCTTTAAATGAGAGGAGGCAACACTGGCCTGTGTGATGGGAAATGAAAAGGTTGGTTGAGGTAAAAGCAAGAGAAGATGATCCTGTGTGATGGGGGTGAGAAAATTTTTCGTCTTCTTTCAACATGAAGAGAACAATTCACCCCCCCCCCTTATGGGATGAGGCCCTATATCCATATCTATGTATTTATATTTATCTATTCCTTTATACATATAATCCTCACTCCCAGCAGTACTACATATCCTGGTAGCACCTCATGCTCCGAATACCTATGGCAGCAACAAATGCTTCATTACGACCATCAAACCCTAGTATCCGTTTATTCCCCGGAAACATTCTACTGCCAAATAGATGGTGGTATTACCAAATATGTGCCAACACAAATTATAGTGGATGAATACAACCTCAAGTCCGGTGTTAGTTATTTATTTATTTATTTATTTATTTATTTATTTATTTATCATACTTGTACCCTGCCCTTCTCACCCCGAAGGGGACTCAGGGCAGCCTCATAAAGGAAAAATTCAATGGCGCATATATTGGTAAATAATCTACTGCATTAAAATCAACCCAATTTAAAACATTCAGAAACACTTCATTGATGTTAATGAAGAAAGGGACAAACTATATTTAAGGGACGCAGGGAAGAATGGGATTTGTTAAAGGAAAAAGGAATAGTTTTGCCATTAATTTTACCTTGGATAGGTGATCTACATATAAATACCCTACGCTGCAGTCCAGCCTCACTGCATGATCTTCCTTTTCCGACACTTCACAATTTATCTGTGTTTCTTCCTAGATAAAGGCAAACAATATATAAAAGCAGCAAGCAACAGATGTTTTACAAAAGGGTTTTCTTAAAGAGCATTTTTGCTTTATGTTACATGACACTTATCTGCAGGATAACTGCCTGAACACAATGTGGATACAATAGTGAACATTTTTTGATCGGATACTATTTTAGGGGCAAGGGAGGTGAGATATTGCAACATTTTAAATTTGTTCATTTATTTGTTCATGAGTCTGAAGGGTACTGTATAGATAATCTGTTTAGGATATATATATATATATATATATATATATATATATATATATATTCATTCTCATATCTTCATATCTTACCTGGTCTAGAATTTTGGTGAAATAAAGCCCTTTAGGGAGCTGGATGTGGAGGGCAGCTTGATAAGCATCATCACCAGAATTGTACAGAGTGACATTTAACATTAATGTTTTCATATTTCCCACTGCAAGGTAAGATTTCTTTTCATGAGGCCTACATGAAATGAACATATATGATTTTAGTTGAAGTTTAACACACATAGAAAAACAAAGGAAAACATGATTTATTCAGACAGAAATGAATGCTAGTTTATGCTAGTTTAGGGATTCTGGAAGTTCAAACTCACAACAGTTAACAATTCCAAGCTTTGTCTCTAACAGAAACATGTGGTAAGCTTATCTCCCTTCTCATTTCCTTGCTAAATAATGGAGAGAAGTATATTATTCGTCACTTGATGGAGAAATGGCAGATTATCTAGTTCTCAGGTGGGACTCATTGGAAGTAGTAGCATTCACTACTTCCAGTAAGTCTTGTGGTCTTTGACCCACTTTGGGCAAAGTTGGAGAATACTTCGGAAACAATGAAGTCTCCCAAGATTTTGGGGCAGTCTGTACAGTTGGATTGGCACCAATCTGGATTTGTCTCCTGTCCAGATGGGACTCTGGCATTATTAATTTTTCCCTGCACTCCTTCTGATTGGTTGTTGCAAAGGTTGACAGCTTAGATGGCGCTTAGTAGCTAGCTGTTGAGTGGCAGACATGGAGGAAATAATTCAGTGGGTGGACAATGTGGATGCCAATGTGGTGCCACAGAGTGTTCGGCTACATCGACCTGACCACCTGCAGGGCTAGTTTGTAGCTCTGAACTGGCCAGTGTAGACTCACTTTGGAAAAAGAATGCGTTTTTTTAAATCACACTACGGCCAAACACTATTTTGATCCTTCCTCACCTCTTCACATTTTTCTATTGTACTTTCTATGTTTAACTGGTGTTGTCCAGTCATATGGCAACAAAAATTATTGCCTTCTTTGGCTCTAAGTTCCATTTCCACTATTTTGAAGCAGACCGCCAAGGGTTTAATGCCCCTTTTATAATCACCTTATGTTGAGTAAAGGCTCTTGCCTTTCAACTTTCCATCAAGGTTAATATACAGCAGGACCTGTGCACATGAGTGAACATGTCTATCTTACGTTCCACCTAGTGTTCCCCTCATCACGTTAACAAGCCAAAGGTACCTAAGAGGATTTATAAGTAAACTTCAATTTGACATTAAAGTTTAATTAAGACTTGCAGAAGAGCCGCCTTGAAATAGACATTTATCAAATATTCTGGCTGGAGACCAAAACATTAGTCATTGAACACCTTGGGGAGAGAAGTTGGCACTTAGACAGGCAACAGAAGGTAAAAGCACCACATAAGCAGCTCGGTTTCATATTAAAGAGATAAAAGCAAATGCTAACATTTCAGTGGCTAGATTTAGCACTTGCTATAATTGGTGTCTTTTCTTTTCCTTCTGCCTATTTTGCTTTGTTATCAGGATGCCATGAATGAAGAAAGGGGAAATGGAGAAGAAATGTCTAGTAAGGAGTCCATGTTCACAGAAACATCTGGAAGTGGGAGAAAGCTGAACTATAGCTTTATTTCACAGGATCTTATTATTCATTTTAAATGTGTGTAGACGAATATCATACTATTTGGTTCATGCCAAGTGAGGAACCATATGAGTAGATAACTGTAACAAAATAGTTCACAACCAGTGTCATCTAATTTTCTTAAGCAGGATTTAGCAGCCTCTTTTAAGCAAAGGAAACACTTTATTTCAAAACATCATCATGTTGTTCACGGATAAAGGTGGTAGTCTCGGCAGAAAAAAATAAATTAGCACTTCACAGACAACTCAAGACAATGTTTCACACTTTGTGTCAAGCCTAACCCAGAACATGATGACAAAAAACTCATTTGTGTAAACCCTAGTCTGCCCTTAACATGTATAAAGTGTGTGTGTGTGGCAGGAGGGGGGGTTCCCTTTGTTTTTGCTCAATTGTACTTTTTCTCTTCTCCTATTCCATTATACAGCATGGCTCTCCTATCCATGGGACAGGTATTCCTGGCTTCATTTACCCACATCTTTCAAAATATATTCTCTCGAGGTATTTTCTAGGTCCTCCACGTGAATCTACAGTTCTTCTGCCACAGTGAAGACATCTGCCCTTGCACTTTGCTACTCTGCTGCTGAATACGCATGTCCAGTGTGGAACACATCTCACCACATTAAAACAGTGGATGTGACTCTCAATGAATCCCACTGGAGCCAGTATTGCACCACCTGACATCTGCCGAGAAGTAGCAGTCAATAGTGAAAGGACCAAGGCAGTGACATCTCCAGCTCATCCCGTTTGGGTATCAACTAGCATATCAACGACTTAAATCAAGACATAGTGAATCATAAAGATGCATAATGGGACACCAGGAAGAGTGTCTCTATACTCATTGCCACTCCCTAGCTTGTCCCAACGTGCATATATGGGTCTTGTTGTGCATCAGTCCCTCTGTATATCTATCAATATGTTGGCTCCTTATATAATAAGGTAACAGACCCTTAGAAGACACAGATGTCACAGAATACTAATTCCTGCAGCCAGAAACTTATTTACAATGACATACATTCCCAACAGGAGTCCAGCCGATATAAGCAAACAACAGTGCCAATCAGTCTTTTCTACAGGACTAACCACTTCTCTTTGAAACAGAATGCTTATTTTGGCTTTCATACTACCGTATATTCCGGCATATAAGACGACTGCGCGTATAAGACGACCCCCAACTTTTCCAGTTAAAATATAGAGTTAAGACGACTCCCATGCATAAGACTACACCTGCGTATAAGACGACCCCTGACTTTTGAAAAGATTTTCTTGGGTTAAAAAGTAGTCTTATACGCCAGAATATACTGTACTTAGAAATCACATTCAACTTACCTTGGAAATGCAAGCTTTCCAGAAATTTGCAAGTTAGCAGAACAATTTTCTTGAGAGCAAAATCTTGCAAATACAAACTTTAAAAAAGAAAAAAAAATAGTTCATGTATTCATATCTATAAATGTAGAAACAATTTAAAACAGCTATTTCCTATTACCATGAAGTCCAGAACTATTAGGAGTATTTTGATAGAAGTGCTTTTTTTCTCAACCACCATCCCACTGCCATTCACTGTCCTGTCTTTATTAAATTCTAGTACATTCTACTTGTAACAACAAAAGGTTCTTTCTATGTGGTCCCTAAAATGCTTCAAAAATACTCTTAACACTACATGGTGCTATACACTATATATGAAGATTAAGACAAATATTGTAAAACACTAAAATTTAGGGCTATTTGGGATACAAAGAATATTAATAACAATTTGAATCCCAGATGGAAAAAGCAATATCCTTGAAAGCAGATAACCCTTGCAATAGAAAAAGAAGTGGAGATTGTGCAGAAAAATGCATTTTCTGGATAGAAACATGTGTTCCATGAAGAACAAATGTTTTTAATGGGGAAAAAACACAAACTTTTCTGTTCAGAAAACATTTTCTCACAAAAAAAAGCCCACAAGTGGATTTTTGTGTTCAATAAATTCCAAACTGTGACTCACCCTTAAAAAATTGCTCAGTTCTCAAGGGTTTTTCTCTCAGAAGGGATTAAAATTGTTTTATTATTTGTTTTTGACCATTAGAAGGAAATTTACCAAAATTTACACCTCTAAGGGTTACACACTTACTTTTGGATTTTTAAAAATATATTTTTCAAGCCATGGATGATTGCATCCATGGGCGCAGAATCTGTGGATCTGGAAGGCTGGTTGTATTGGACATTGATTACCTAAGAAATGTTACCAGGAGCTGGAAAGGATGATCAATAACCAAGTCTGAGGTTCTATTCCACTTTGCCTTTACTGCTTTTCCATGACACTAAACATTGCTTTAAGCCAGTGGTTCCCAACCATTTTTTGACCAGGGACCACTCCCCAATATTAGTACCAAAAGAGTTACAAATCAGTTTTTGGTCTAAAGTTGAGCAAAAATATTCAGTTTGGTTATTTAGGGTGCCGATTCAGAAAATTGCATTGGGTAGACCACATCAGCTCTAGTTTCTGATACAGAACATGTGCCATTCAGTAGTCACCATCTGCTTGCCCACAGCAAACCATATTTAATAAGCCTCAGCACTATAAGAGGATTTCACAAGACCAGTCACTCTTGTTGCAATGGTACAATAACAGTGAGGCCACGGACCATATTTTAGTTCTTGCGGACTACTGGTGGTCCACGGACCACAGTTTGAGAACCACTGCTTTAAGCAAATACACCTCAATTTGCTTAAAGTTCACCTAGGTTCTAATAGAATACATCTATTTAATACAGTGACTACTAGAGAAAAGTTAGTAAGGGTTACCAAGCTGCTTTGCCACTTGGAAACTATCACAGACAAACACTGAACTTTATTTCTGCTGATTTTTGAAGCAACTTCATGAGATGGAGAAACAAATCTTTTCCTTTATTTGGGGTTGACAATTATTAATTTGAAGGACTTTAGTTATGTTCTTTACCATTATTCTTCCAGTCTCTTTAGTGAAATACAGATAGCATCAGAAGCAAACATATTTGCTAGAAAAATACAAAAAAAAAAAAAAGATCCAGAAAAGGATGCAAGTAGCAGAGGGTTGCATTCAGATATTCACCCTTATGCAATAAATTATATCTACGCTTCCTAAGTGATATTATAAATCACTCTTTTGGTCCTGTATCCTTTTTACAGGCTCCACAGCTGACATTTTTTAACATATCCTATCTAAAGTATAACCTGAGTAGGGCTGAGCAAGTATTTAGTTTTTGTTCATTTTTAAAAAATTAATACAAACAAATTTCAGCATTAACCTGAAAAGCAGGCACTTATCCAAAGTATCCCTTATCCAAAATGCTTGGAATCAAAAGTGTTTTGGATTTCACATTTTGGAAGACCGTAGTTCCATATTTGTACATAATCAGATCTCTTGGAGATGGGACCCCGGCCTAATAAAAGGAATCATTTGTGTTTCATATACACCCTATATACAAAGCCTGAAGGTAATTTTAAACAATGCTTTCAATAATATTGTGCATGGGAAGAAGTTTGTGTACATTGAACCATCATAAATCAAAGGCCTAAACTATCAGAGACACACATGTGGATAATTCCAGATTTTGGAGTCTTTTATATTTTGGAATTCTGGACAAAGGATCCTCAGCCTATGCATATCCAAAGTGTGCTTTGGATATAAGTAGTTTATTTGCTACCAAATCTATCTATCTATCTATCTATCTATCTATCTATCTATCTATCTATCTATCACCGTCTTACTTTGCTGCGTATAATATCATCATCTTTTCGTTGTTGAAGAACTGGTTGGAGTGGTGGGAGTTCATCTGTACTTTCCCCCTTTAAGACATGGCTCCCAAGGCGATAGGTAGCTTCAACATGTATAGGAGCCAGGATATCCCTGACATCTTTCTATGAAAATTGGAAAACAGATGAGTTAATTACATTAGATGAAGTGAAAATATACATCAATAGGGCAACATGTAGCGCATTCTGGTTCTTATTTAAATTAAACGTACATCAGCAAACAGTAATAGATGCTAAAAGTCTGGCAATATCTAGAGGGCCACATGCCTCCCACTCCTGATGCACACAAAGGAAACTCAATCTTATAGGAAGTAACTGAAGTTGCAACTTACTGTAAATGTGAAGAGCAAATTATTGGACACATCAAGAGCCTAGTCCTAGATGGAGGCAGGCTTTTAATTCTGATCTACAGGTTTATTTATTTATGTTTTTTCAAAATCTACTATCACCGGTTGTGGTTGACGAACTGTGGATTTTGAAAAAGGACTGATAAACTGTGTGTTGAGATTGACAAACTTTTCCTACATTAAGAAGCTCTGGATTAAGAGACTTGTAAAAAGGTTCACAAACTGTGCATTGTTATTTACAAATTTATTTTCAAAAGAACCTTAAAACAGCTATACATTTTGCTGTAAGAATTTGTTTATACCACATAAGAAAAATAATTTTAGGTTGTATAACTTGTACTAGATGCCTATATATTGAATGTTGTAGCAATTAAGCAAAGACATAATATACATTATAGCAATTATATAATTGATTTACTCTTGGTCTTAGGGACCTTTTGCCTTTTAAACCAGTTTACCCCATGTTAAGGACCAGCTGTCCCTGGACAGGATGTAGACATCCAGAAGGAACTTCTCATTTAAGGAGATATATACAGCTCATGTTGTCAATACCTCAATTATAGCCACTATTTCATCCCAGAAACTTTGCTTTAAGTGAGAAAGCCCATTACCCTCATGAATGCTTGGAGCATTGTACAAGTAATGTTGTTACTGTTGTAAATCTTGATGCTTCCAGAAGTTGTCTCCGAAGTTCCATTAGAGGAAAAGTAGAACCTTGCTGCTGTATCCGGTCTTCTACCTCCATCCAGGCTGAGATTATAGAGTAATACTGCAAGGATTAAAGGGTGGAAAGAGAACACAATAAAAGTGAGAGGATTTGTAAAGTAACTCCACACCATGTTTTGTTGTCAACTGATGCTGAACTACTACACCAAACATCTCACAATGGTGGATGCCGTCAAGACATCGTTCCATCATTTCATTTTACAAATCAGTGCAAATCTCACAGTACTTTCTTCAGATCTTTGGAATAGATCTTTGGAATACCCATTTGACACTCTATTTTAAATCTTTAAAGATCAAATGTGTACTTTCAATTATGGCACTGAATTCCTGAGACTTGAGTCTCACAACTCCTGGCAACAACAAGATGAACATTTATTTCTCTCCCATCTCTTCCCATGGACCAAGATGTGAAAGAACAACAAATCAAACACATAACACAGTTTAAATAACTTCTGGATCTTATATATTGCAGGCAGTACTTACACAACAATAGCCAACACCGCAAAATGAATTATCATCCGCATTCACTTTAGTGGCAAGAGCGAAATCATACAGAAGCTCAAAATATGCTTTTAAAATCTTGAATAATCTATCTTTGCCCTAAATCATGATAAGTACCTAGCGGCTTCAATGGAAGAAGTAACCATAACTTCCATTTAATGATGTACAGGAAGTCACTTTTGAACAGATATTAACACATACATTCAATCAGCAGAGAGTGGAGGAAGGATGTCAAAGCACTTCTTAAGCAGCTTACCAATATAACCTGGAACGGTTCGGCCACTATAGTTAAAACAAAGATTCAGATTCACACATACAGCTGGCTGTCCATTTAAAACACAATCCAGCTTAGTCCGATTTACAGAGTCAGGGTGCTGCAATGATGCTTCAACAATAACTACTGCTCTTGTCCTTTAAAAAAAGAGAGAGAGAGCAAAGTAATCAGAAGATGCCTCCTTACCATTCAGTGTTTATGTACTGAATTGTTGAAATTATTAGACAAATCAGTTAGACACCATGACTAAATGATTTACCTGGACATTTTGACAAAGGACATTAAACATGTAGCATGCATTTCTATCTGGCTTTTCTAAAAATGAAAAGGAAACACAGGGGCCAAATCCAGAACAAGAACACAGTACATCAAAGAGATTTGATCCTTCTCTTTCCCAAGACAGAACCCGCTAAGAAAATCCCCAATTCCTGCTGAGTGGCACTTAGTTACAGTAAGAAAATCTCATTGCTGCCCATGTTTACAACTACTAATAGCTGTGTTGGGTGTGGCAGGTATGAAAACAGAAACAAACAGAGACATTAATAACAGCAAGAACAGGAGAAAGCAATTTTTGTGACTAAATGTATGGGTCACAGAAATAATCAATTAATGTACAGAGTTATAAATCTATCTGAGCTTTATACAAGTAGCATTACTGGATGAACATTTTATAGGATTATGGAAATTTGTGGGGCAATGTTGTTTTCTGAAATAATAACTATAACAAATTGGGCTAATTTCTGGATGGACAATAACTCTGCCTCTAAGCTCTAACTTTGGTGTGTTATAAATCTCAACATTCACTGCAACCACCCATGGGGAACCCTGGTTATACATAAAATATATAATATTTGTAAATGCTTGTACTCATGCATTTAATGTAGACTTTTTGTAATGAAAATGCAAAGCAGCAGCAAGCCTGGGGACATCAAGGGAGGGTCTCTGAGATTTCAGTGTAGAGGCAAATTTAGTAAGAGATGGTTGAATGCCCTAGAAGCCAAGATGACTCAACTGAGACTATCGTAATTTGGATCATATCATGAGAAGATACAATTCAATAGCATAGACAATCATACTTGATAAAGTGGATGGCAGTAGGAAAAGAGGAAGACTCATCTCAGGAAGAAGAGGAAGACTCATCTAAGATGGATAGATCCAATCATGGAAGCCCCAGACCTGGGTACATCTACACTGTAGAATTAATGAAGTTTGACACCATTCTAACTGCTATGGCTTAACTCTAGTATGTAATCATGAGGGTGAATCTCCCCTGCCAAAGTGCTGGTGCCTCAGCAAATCACAACTCCATTATTCCATAGTAGTGAGCCATGGCAGTTCAAGTGGTATCAAACTGCCCTAATTCTACAATATAGATGCACCTTTAGTCTGCATGACCTGAGCAAGGCTCTTGAGGATGGGGTGATTTGGAGGTCTTTCATACTGCCACTACAAATTGACAGCAATTATCAACAACAGCAACACATATTCTTTCTCCTCTCCACACTGAACTTTATAGTCCATGACCCCTAATATATATATATATATATATATATATATATATATATATATATATAAATAAATCTGTCAAATAAATGCCTATTAAAACGGATGATTCACACACATATGTTTTACTCATGGTACTTACAATTCACCTCTAAGTAAATATAAATTTGTTTAATGTAGTTTTTAAATTTTATACTGCCACGTGACTATTGCTCCCTGAGTGCCTACAATGAAATTTCCTGCTTTTTCTTGTGTAAGCATCCAAACTAGAAAAGTATAGATTTCAAAGGAACAAGAACAGCACTTCTAAAATTGGGATTACTTGTGTTTTCCTTCTACTGAAGCTAAATTTCAAAGATGCCTATATTTTAATTTTGACTAGCTAATTTTTTTTTATTAACATTCCTCATGACTGTCTTTGGCACATGTTTCCAGAACTATTTCCTGCTTGGATAATTTCGCAGTGACATACTTAAGTGCCCTCAAACGTATTAAATATGTCACTGGTGTACAGAAACCCAAAATTTAATGAATAACTTAATAAAGAGCCTTATGAGGTTGATGGTACATTGCAAATGTATTTAATTGCAGCTCATAATTTACCATTATGTCCAGTTGTCTCTAAGCACTGGAAAGTGTTCAACTCACCTCAGCAACACTGCAGAATCTGATAGAAAAGCACCAACTGCAACATCTGTAGAGAGAGAAAAAAGTCCACAGATTGATGACGATCATTAGGCGCCAGAAATCATCTCTCAGACACAATCCCCTTATTGCATATTCACCTCTGGACTATATTAAATCACTATTTGCACATTATTAATTAGAGGGGATATGGAGATACATTACAGCACATCTATCATTAGCACATTCATTCAGACGTAGCTCTGCAGTTGTCACGCCTTGTGCCAAATAATTCTACTGCAATTGGCAATATCATGGCTAAGCTGTTTCATAGCTTCCCCAGGAATTCTGATGGTGAAGAAGATAAATTTAGTGCCATTCAACATGAAAGGATTTTTAAAAAAATAAATATGTATCATGAGAAATAAATTTCCAATTCAATTTAGAAAGAGGGCATGCCTCCTAAAAATAAGACAAACTTCAAGAAAGGAATATTCCTCATCAAATCACAAATTCCCAGATTTCACAGCATTGAGCCATGGCAGTTAAAGTGGTGTCAAACCGCATTAATTCTACAGTGTATAACACTATGTAACACAATTTTTGTTTCTAGGTTATAATGTCATATTTTAATAGGTTCTATAATTTAAAAACATGGAAAATGTTTATTAAAGTGCAAAAACATTTTTGGGGACATCCTGCAGCACATTTTGCTATAGCTTTTCAATGAATATTTCACAGAGTCTCAACCAATTCAACACAAGTCTCAACCAATTCAAAAAACTCTAAAATTACAACAGCAAAACAGCAGAGAAGAAACAACCAGGCACATCTTAACACCTCTCAACAGAACATTTTCCCAGGCTCAGCCAGGCCTTCAAATGCTAATGAAGGTGGTCAGCTGAAACATTCACACCTAGCTCCAGCAGGGAAGAGCTCCTTGCCCCACCCCAGTCATTCCACAGATATATAAACCCATTTTCCTATTTCCAACAGACCTCACTACCTCTGAGGATGCTTGCCATAGATGCAGGCGAAACGTCAGGAGAAATGCCTCTAGAACATGGCCCTATAGCCCGAAAAAACCTACAAGAACCTAGTGATTCCAGCCATGAAAGCCTTCGACAATACAATTCAACACACTTTGTGGCAGCCACAAAAACAAAGTTTCTGGAGTATAACAACTACTTTCAAAGTAAGTGCTGCACAATTAAACAGGAATAAGACTTTCAAATCAGAAATATATTTTTTCAAGTTTTCTTACATATAGTAAGAAAACTTTTTTCAAGTTTTCTTACATATAGCACTTACACAGATTTGCTAATTTCCTTATACATAAAGCTAATTTCCTTATACATAAAGCATTATAATCTATTCTTTTAAAAGCCCTCGGACACTTTCTAATCATTCATATTGGTTCCGTTTTAATCATCTGTATCCTGTCTTGGATCTATATTTCAGGAGGGAGAGGATAAGAAATAATGGCATTTGGCCTTGTTCTATTTGTTAGGCCCATTACAGTAGACCCATTAAATCAATTTAAGTGTTGACCTATCAAGCTCTCATTAAATCAACTGTGATTGGGACTAACTATTGGATTTAGGGCATTGCTTTAAAGAAACAAAAGTGAAGCTACATTTCCTCACCCAAATATCCATTAACCTACCTGAATACCCATTGCTGTCCACATCAATTTTTCCAGAAATGGATTGTCCAAACATGCGTAAAGAATTGCTGATTTGATGTCCTTGTATTCTCTAAAACATTAAAACAGTTTATCTTTCTAAGAGGAAACTACCCTTTTTAAAAAGAACTACTAAAAAGTATTTGATAAACAATTAAGAAGTTATCTAAATCAGCTTTCCTAATGCATTACTCCATTTTTACATTCCAGCTTGCATTTTAAATATTGCTGCTCTGTTTTCTCACCAGTGCTGACCAAGATACTTAACAACTCCAAGAAGTTGTATTCCATGATTTTTTGTAAGGGATGAAAATGCGAGAATAATCCGGATCCGATAATTTTTCAAACAAACTTATACTTGCTATGCTTTCCTGTAGTTTTGTCCTGCTGAGTAGTTTGATAATTGATACAAACAACTACTTTTTTGCAGCTAGGCTAGCTCCTGAAGCCTCAGGCTTAAAAGGTAAAGGATTCCCCTTGACATTAAATCTAGTCGTGTCCGACTCTGGGGGGTGGTGCTCATCTCGATTTCTAAGCCGAAGAGCCAACGTTGTCCATAGACGTCTCTGAGGTCATGTGGCCGGCATAAAGTGCCATTACCTTCCGGCTGGAGCGGTACCTATTGATCTACTCACATTTGCATGTTTTCGAACTGCTAGGTTGGCAGAAGATTGTTGATTGTCTGTAGAGTTGTAAACCGCGTTGAGTCGCCAATGTTGGCTGAGAAACGGCGGTATACAAGCGCAGTAATAAATAAATAAATAAATAAATAAATAAATAAGATGGGGCTAACAGCAGAAGCTCACCCTGCTCCCTGGAATCGAACTGCTGACCTTTCAGCCAGCAAGTTCAGCAGCTCAGTGGTTTAATCTGTTGCACCACTGGGGGCTCCTTAGGCTTAATTTCACACTATTCTTCTATGCTATTTGACACATTTTTGCCTACTTAGAACCTACTTATTGTTGCTGTATGCCTTCAAGTTATTTCTGACTTATGGCAACCCCACAGTGATCCTATCACAGAGTTTTCTTTGCAGAATTTGTGGTTATCCCTCCTCCTGAGGCCGAGAGAGTGTGACATGCTTTAGGTCACCTAGTGGGTTTCCAGAGCCCAGCAGGGATTTGAACCCAAGTCTCCAGAGTAAGTCAACCACTACATCATGCTATCTCTACTTAATACTCTTGGTGAAATAATGCAAGCAGTCTTTCTCAGTACGTGAAAGGGAAGAAGGTAGTGAATTTTTCAATTCCTATCTTATCATCTTCTGCCCACTTTCTTCCAATCTGAATGGTGTCTTCTCTGATAGACTGGTTGCTAAATGAATTCCTAAATTTTATGCTTTGGGGGCAGAAAGGTGTTCCTATCCTTAGTGACAACTGGTGGCTTCCATGTCAGTTGGGCAGTAACTCTACTTGGGAGTTTTAGTTTGATGCTTAAGAGCTATCCATGGTGCTGAACTCTCTTCTTCAATTGGATTCAGCCCAGCACTAGTCCAGTGTAAAGTGAAACATCTGCTACTGTGGTTCATGTCCTATTACTTATGAGAACCAAATATTTATTAAACTCAGAATCACATCTTAAGAGCACCGACCTGAGAAAAGACTGGTGATATTCCATTTTTCCTGCCATTATATATGTAAATTGCCCCTTCTAAGTCATTCTCCTGTGGAGCCCCAATGGCTACATCTGTAAATAAAACAAAATAACATTCAAGTGGTAAATTGAAGAGCATTAACCACACAGTAGCATACATATAGGTGTTTCCAATGTTTTCTTTTAGAAACTGAAATAAGGATGATCTCACATCAGCGTATTTACTTCTGCCACTTTTATCAATCACTATCAGGTCATTATATCTCAAGATTCAAATGGATTATTAATGGATGTTGATGTTCTGTCAGAGGTCAGTTATGGGTTTTTTTTCTTTTTGCAATAATCCTATGAAACAATAGGCTTAACAGCCTCTCAGTCTTATGCATCCCAATCAGTACCATGTGTACACTATACCTTTAGAAATGCATCCAAACATGGGAATGTCCCACATATGCCTTCAGAAACAATTCAAGGAGCATTGTCTTTCTCTCTGAAATATTCCAAGAATATCTAAGCTATTGCCCACAGAAAATCTGGCTTTCTTCCTCGAGTAGGGTGAAGGTAAAGGTTTCCCCTGACATTAAGTCTAGTTGTGCCCAACTCTGGGTGGAGGTGCTCATCTCTATTTCTAAGCCAAAGAGCTGGTGTTGTCCATAGACACCTCCTAAGTCATGTGGCCAGCATGACTGCACAGAGCACCATTACCTTCCCACAGAAGCAGGACCTATTGATCTAGTCACATTTGCATGTTTTCAAACTGCTAGGTTGGCAGAAGCTGGGGCAAACAACAGGAGCTCATCCTGCTCTCCAAATTCGAACCACCAACTTTCAGTCAGCAAGTTCAGCAGCTCAGCAGTTTAACCCACTGCACCACCAGGGAACCAAGTAGAATTGGGTATATCCATGTTTCATTTGAGTAAGCCCTAATTAGAGATTAATGAAAACCACTGGCTAGTATCTGTAATTCACTCTGACAGGTTAAACACGAAGAGGTCCGTCTTGATCAAAAGTCATCATGATCTCTTGGAAGAAGTGGCTACTATTGGTTCCAAAAATCACAAACCATACTTTCAGTTCTTCCAGCACAATCTATTTTTATGATCAAACAGAAACACACTGTGATGTATAAATACTGCAGAGAAGCATGGCAAAAGGTACAGTGAACAAAAGTTCAGCTATGGAAACAAGGAACACTGCGATACATTGCTTTTCTCCCAGCGGTATGAATGAGGATACTTAGAGGTGCTATTGGTTTAATTCTTTAAAAGCTCTAATCACTTTGTTTTGTTTTGTTTTAATAGGCAGGGCATTAAAAGGGAAATGAAAGAAGCTGGTTTTAAAGAAACTAATCTATTTTATATCCTTGGGTAGTTTTATTCCCATATGGAGTTGAGAGACAGAGGAATAACTACTCTCACTATTACCTGTAGCACAAAAATAGTTGTTTGAACAGCTAAGATAAATGATCCAAAGAAAAGGAACTCTGGGATATATTGCTCCCAAGTACATCAGGATTTTAAAAATATTAAAAGATATTTCAATCTCTACCTAAAGGAACCTCCGGTGGCACAGTGGGTTAAAACACTGAGCTGCTGAACTTGTTGACCAAAAGGTCGCAGGTTCAAATCTGGGGAGCGGTGTGAGCTCCCACTGTCAGCCCCAGCTTCTTCCAACTTAGCAGTTCGAAAACATTCAAATGTGAGTAGATCAACAGGTACTGCTCCAGTGGGAAGGTAATGGTGCTCCATGCTGTCATGCCAGCCAGATGACCTTGGAGGTGTCTACGGACAACGCCAGCTCTTCGGCTTAGAAATGGAGATGAGCACCACACCCCAGAGTCAGACACGACTGGACTTAATGTCAGGGGAAAACCTTTACCTTTACCTAAATTTTGGTTTCTGCATCCACTGAAAGAATGAAAATACTATCCAATAGCAACCCATTATGTTATGTTTATTTATTTACATCAATAAATGTCATGTAATATCTTTCTCCCTTATTCTTATTCTCTCTGGATATCGTGAAGAAGAGAGGTTGAACCAACATATGTATTTTATTTTGCTACCCAAGACAAAATGCAAAATGGCACACAAAACCCCATCTAATTTCAGCTCTGGTGAGCGATATAATATCTTCCTTAATGGCCGTCTGGGCAGGGGGTCAAAGAACCCCACCGCTGCCCCACCAATTATAATAACTGGGCAGATGGCAATACGATCAATCCCACCATCTGACCCCAAATATAAAAACTCCTTTATGGCTAAACAATATGACTGGACAGGGGGGCAAACAGATCCCACCGCTGTCCCTCCTTTAATAAGGAATTCACACCACTTTGGCACCTAGATAACACTTGAGGGGATGTCTCTCTATTTAAAACCTTCGCTGCCACCATAAACCAAATGAACAGGAATCCTTTAGCTGATTAGAATAAGAAAAGGCTTTTTAGACCACCATGTACTGTGTCTTTTAAAAGGGCTTCTTTGAAGGAAAACAGGCGAGGTTGATTTTAAAAAGAAAAGGGACTAAATCCACAAATGTATACTTGACTCAGGCTTAAGTTTCAAAAATAACAAGGAAAGTTTATTGAATACAGAACAGAATGAAGTGAATGCAGGTTAATAAGCTTGGCTGTTACAATTAAAGTGTTCTTGTTCTTAAAAAGCGTAACGGTTGCAAGAGAGAATGGTTCTTTCTTTGTTACAGTTCCTATTACAAATCCCAGCTATTCCTTCCCTGAATAGCTGTACCCAATTTGCCACAGTCTACTTTGCTGTGCAAACTTCAGGCAAACTGCCTATTCCTAACAGGAACTCCTAAAAGCCTTCTATAATCTTGCTCTAACTCTAACATCAACCAGAACTGAACTGAACTAAAACAGCTTCTTTCTTTCCCTCCAACAGTCTAACTCCGCCCCCCTTTAACAAACCAATCCTGGCTGTTTCAGGGCTGGCTCAGGCCTAGGCCACTCCCCCTCTCTGAACTGGAGCTTTCCCTAAACTAAAATGGCTCCTGCTGCCCTCTGCCAGGCCTTCTAAGCTGAAACTACCTAGCCTGTCTCTCCTAGGCCCTGCCACCCCGGCTGGCAAGGTAAGGGATCTTCACAAGCGACATCTTCCATTGGTCTAGCAGGCCATCTGTCCCATAAACACAACTGTGTTGGCTCCTTTAATGCTCCTCCCCACCAACCTACATCATAAAGTATCATTCTCTCTTTGCCTAACAATAGGTCTAATTCTGTTCTTGAAACTCATACTTCTGCTGTCAGTTGGGAAAAATAAATCCCAGGTAAAAGGGACCAATTGCAGCTATTAGCCATGAGTGCAAGGCTGATTAATTAGATTGTTAAAATGCTGGTTGATCAAAATGGTTACATATGACACTCAGCACTGGTTGTTTCAGAATACCCATATTTAGAGACCTCAAAAACTGATCCACCTTTCGCTTCTCTTTGCCATTGCTACGTATTTCTCAAAGGCATCCGTCATTACCTTCAAAGCCATCATTATCTATGTCTCCTAAATTGGCAATGGACTCTCCAAACCGCGCCGCATACAAATCGCTCCCAACTAGTGCTGTCTCCAGTTCTGTCATCTTTGCTCCCTAAAGGAAAATAATAATTTTGTATCAGGACAGCAAATGCAGGAGTATTGAGGCAGTTACATCAGGAACAGCTTGTAACACTTTAGCAGAAAAACAGTTCATATTCACTAGTGATCAATAGGCTTCAAGAAGGGGAAATGGCACACAGTGGGCACACTTGCTGCTCCAAGAGGAACATAAGAATGTGCCTGTTCCAATGCTACAGACTTTGAAATAAAAGAGTGTTCAACACAAAAGAATTAAGCACATGTTCATATGTCTCCATTGACAATAACTGATCCATCATTTACATTATAAACTATACCTAGTCACCCATCTTTTTCTACTAATTTTTAGAGCCATATCACATATGAATTGTTCTGTAAACATCAGATTAATGAACATTTGAATTTTTGAACAGATTAATGAACTTTTGAAGTAAATAAAGAATAACACTAAGAAAACAGAGGAATTCCAGATGTGAAACAATCAGGGCTAGCTAACACCTCCCAACAAAGGATTCCCCCAGGCAGGAAGCAGCCAGGCTTTGAAGCTGCAAAGACATTCAAAGCTAATCAAGAGGGCAAAGGGCAACATTCACATTTTCCTCAAGCAGACAAGAGTTCTCCCCCACCCCCGGACATTCCATATTCCCCCACCCTAGATCTTTACCATATTACCTCTTTTTAGCACAGGTAAGGGCTAAAAAAATACTTACAATTATTCTTGCCCTTGATAAGAAAGATATATGTAGGCATTTTGTTTGCACAAAACCAGGTGGTTTTTAGTCCCAAAACCAACACTTTTGCACCAATTCTTTTACATAATATTTTTGCAAAGAAAAAAAGTTTTATAATACAGAAATTCATAGAAAATGCATAAAAGCTCTCATATGTATATATTATAATATAATTCAATATTATTATATTATATTACCGGATAATAATAATACCACCCAATAGGAAGATGTTTCAGTTTACTGATCCTTACACGTAAAACAGAAATGTAAAGTGAAAATGTGTATTCATAACCTGAGTTGATGCTCTATAACTCTTTGTCTTTACCTAAATTACCCTTTATGATGGGCACCAAACGTGCAGAACTGCAAATGCATGACAGCATATGAATGCATTGGAATTTGTTAGCAAAAGCTGTCCCTCACTACCTCATCTTCATGTCAAAAAAAATCCCAAACAAAATTCACCTATTAATACACAACCATTTTCAAAAAGCAGGTCTTATGAATGGGGCACCGCTCATCCCTCTGAATCAACCCACACTGCCCTTACGTTAAACTAAAGAAACACTTACAGCACCGGAATTAATGTAAACGTAAGCCCTTCCTTCTTCTCTGACTTTGCTGTATGTTGGTGCACCAACAAGTAAGTCCGAGAGGCCATCTCCATTGAGATCCACAGCACAGACTGTTGAGCCAAAGTAAGAACCAAGCTGTCCACACAGAAAAGAGACAGCTTTAATAACAGAAGCATCATGGTATTACACTGCAAATAACAATCTCAGACCATCAGTATAGAAATATTACCTTTTTGCCCTTTAATTCTGTCAGAATGGAGAGTCGTCTTGGTTGAATTTTAAAAATGTATGCCTAAAAAAAAGAGAGAACAGGAGTTTAATTGAATTATGCACCTTCCAAAAATTAAAACATATATGCCATAAAGAAGTTAACCAACAGCGGAAGAAGGCAAGATCATCTTTACTCTGTTAAGTATCCTGTATTTGGCAATGGCCTGGTCTACAATTGTAAATATTATATACCACATTCCCTGTTTTGCATTTGAATAGTTTAGATATTATAGTAATGTATTCCTGGCATTGTATTTCCACTGATTAACTGTGAGGGCATTAACATTGGAGAATTTGTGCTTTGATTGTGCTTTTCCTGTATGGCAGGAGGTTGGACTAGATGGCCCATGTGGTCTCTTCCAACTCTATGATTCTATGAATTAAAGCAGTTTGACATCAGTTTAACTGTCATGGCTCAAGACTATGGAATTATAGCACAGTGTAGATGTAACCTGTCTCCATATTTACTTAGTATAACAGTGCAGGGTATAACCTAGCAGGTTACAAATGCCATCTGACAAAATATGGTTTTAAGTGCAACTGCTCACCTCCCAGCTCAACTGTGCAGTCATAGAAATAGACAGCATTTAGACATGAAAAATCCTGACCTAGAAAAACATTTTGGGAAAATATACCAGAGATTATACAGTTTTTCTTGCACTCAAATATTTGGATATTCTACCACCTCTACTGTAAAGGGAGGAGGAATTAATTCTTACTTTACCAGTCTGCTCCTGCTGGGGTGCACCTCCAATTACTTCTGTACTACTCGGAGACAGGAAGTGACCAGCTCCAACAGCATATCCTGTCCATAAAACACATAAATAAATGCAATGTGTTTTGGATTATCTCAAAAGCAATCTTCTGACCAGTCTCCAACAAAGGGAGCATTTAAATAAGCTTATTGTGTGAACAGTCCTGAAGAGCAGTAGTTCAAAACAGGGATGGCCACACTGTCCACTTCCATTCCACTAAAGCAGTTGGATGGAGTCCAAATTGTCCAGTGGGGCTGAACATGGTTCAATCTTGCTGACTGGCCAACCTTACCTTTGTCATTTTATTTTCATCACTGCAGAAGTGGCCACAGAGCTTCTAGCCATCACTTGGCTGATGTTATCAAAAGTGTCCATGTGACTCAGAGAGGGGAAGGGGGAAAGGAAGGAAATGATCATTTCTCCTTCTCCAAATCTTGCAGGCATCTTTGATGACATCAGCAAAAACACTGAGAAATGGCCACTAGCTCTTTAGAACCCCATGGCTACTGCTACAGTGACACAAAAAGTCCCAAGTAAGTTTCTTTCTCATGTCAGAAGCAACTTGAGACAACTTCAAGTTGCTTCTGGTGTGACAGAATTGGCCATCTGCAGAGATGTTGCCCAGGGGATGCCCGGATGTGTTACCATCCTGTGGGAGGCTTCTTTCATGCATAGGAGGATGTTTCCCTGTTTCCCCACAGCACAGAGCATGGGGAAAGTGTGATGATGGCACTGGCCTGTGGGAACAAAAGGACTGGTTCCAAATCAGAACGACCAACTGTTCAAATTGCCCCATAATATAGGGCTGTCCCAGAGCTTTGGGGAAATTCTGGAGCAATTCCTTATTTGACCTAACATGGGGCAGAACCTTGTTAAGTGGCCTGGCTCATCATAAGAGTAGGCACTCACTCACTTCAGGTTTATGGCCTGTGTAAATAGACCAAAGTTGAAGGGATTAAATTAAAGGGATTAATATTTCAACAATTTGAGAATACGATGACTTCCAGAAGAAGAAGAAAAGCAAAAACTGATTATGCTCATACAAAACCCAGCACATGCTTTTGCCACATTGCCATAGATTATCTACATCCTTTCGAAGTAAACTCACAAGATATGCCAACGTATGATTACTGATTGATGGATGTGGCTTCTTATTATGGGAAGCTAATCTTTTCATCAACTGAGAAGAAATCATTGCTCAATCTCTTTTGCATTGAAAGTCATTTTGATTTTTTTTCTGTTTTAGTTGTTTTTCCAATTGTAAAATAAGAACAACTAGCTGCCTAACCATTAGGAATGCCAAGATAAATCCAACAAAAAGTATTAGGCTCATATATTTATCCTTCATTTCTCAATATAGACTGGAATGCAGTATTCTGTCTGTCTTTCGGGAATTTGGATAAGAACATGTATTACCACTTGCTATTTAGGGCCACTAATGATATTAATTTTACTAAAAACTAAAGAGAAGTAAATCCCCAGCAAATGAAGACTTACACAAAAACAGATTGATAAAATATTTCAGTTACCCAGATAACTCCCAGACTTTACTTGACTATCATCCACATATGAAAGATAGATATTTGCTGTTTTATTGTATACAAAGATAGATCCAGTCCAATAATCTGATCCGGGAGCGCCCATAATAATTAAATCCTGGAAGAAAACAAAAGGCTTTAAGTCTTAAGTTCTTAAAGATAATCAGAATGAGTCATATTTATTCCTGCTCTGTCTGCTTTAAAGTCTCTCACCGTAGCCAAGTTTATTTGATGGCTATATCATTCAGTAGCACAGTGAAGCAAAATGTATTGCAAATGTTTAATATGTTTAGCAGTTCTGCTGCTAAAGATTATGTCAACAAAGAATCCCAAGCAGGCCACAAGGTTTAAAAGCAACAACAAACCTGCCCTCCTTTGCATAATGTTCTAGGGCTCATTATTCTTATAGCAAAAAGGAAAGGTTCTCAGTAAAGTAGATTGGTCTTTGCAACACCCAATGGAGTACAATTACTTTTATTACTACTTTGAGAAGGTTATTCTGAATCAGACAATAAAACCTTATGTTCTTTTAAAATATTTATGTATTTTCATGATGGAGAAGATAACTCTATGTTAAAATATATATACGGTCCATAATATATGGTAAAAAAAAACCTTGCTGCAATGAGTTTGCCTGTTGTAAAATATATTACCTTTGGAACATCAGCCTGAAAATATTGATTGTCCTATATGAAAATCCATGCAAATAGTCTTTTATACCACTTCTTTTGAAGCATGGCGGTATTTTGTAAGAGTGAGACAAATTGATCCATCCAGTTCAGCATCCTTTACCCCTCACCTTGCAATTCCAAGATGCATTGATGGGACCAGAAATCATCAGAGTGCTGCATACAGCACACACTAGAAAGTATGATGTACAGATGAGGGTGATATCCATGAGAAATTCAGGGTCATATCCTTCTTCACTGTGTGACTCTGGGATAGAGACGCTCTCTAAGCCAGGGGATGGCATTTAATCTCATTGTATAATGTACAACGACAAAAAAGTTATTCTATTCTATTCTTACAGAATGAATCTGAAGCAGAAATATCCCAGACTGCCCTTGAAGGCATCCACAAACTCCATGCACAACCTGTGTTGGCAGTGAAGTGGAATCTACATGGTCCAGCCAGGCCAAAACCAATTTGGTCTGACTAGACCATCACTTTACCTTCCCTGTCACCATTGCCCTTGCTAAACAGCAACTGAGCACTGGGAATCCTCCTGGTTACTGGAGGCACCCTGTACTGTCAATGGCAGAGGCACTGGGCAGCTAGGGAGAAGAAGATCCACACTAACTCTGAGGATGCTTGCCATAGATGCAGGTGAAACGTCAGGAGAGAATGCCTCTAGAACATGGCCATATAGCCTGAAAAAACCTACAACAACCCAAGATCCACATTGTTCCCAAAGTGATGAGCTGTTCCAGATTTCTGAGAATACTTCAGAGTATTCTCTGACTTAGGTTAGTGTATGGATAAGCTAGTTTCACCCAGTGTACCCTGTGAAAAGGACTGGAAGTCAATGGACAATGGTAAGTCTTATTAAAACATGATTTAAATAAATGTTTTAAGGTTTGATATGTTTTAAATTATTGTTTTAATATATATGTTTCTCTTATTATGTATGTATGTTTACATAGCATTGAATTGTTGCCTACAGATGTAAGCCACCGTGAGTCTCCTACAAGTTTTAGAAAGGTGGGGTATAAATAGGGTAAATCAATCAATCAATATTCAGAAGCAACCTGTCACTTGATATGGCTATACAGACAATGCACAGAAGTCCTCTATTTCTGGGCATTTATACACTGGTAACTTATCCTATGACCAAACCAGTGTGGTAAAACACAGTATTGGCCTCAGGATGGTTTAGATTGCCACCAATGCTGACTGTTCAGTAACACCAGACTGTTCTTATTGTCCCTCCTGTTGTCTTTATCATCACAGCGAGCAAGTGCAACATAGCTCATGTTGGTTATTTGGTACCTGTGGGACAAAGCAATGGGAGAGAGGGGAGAGAAGGAATTATCCCATCCTCCCCCCTCGCTTCTCCAACGGCTTCATCACTTCAGCATTATTCTAACCAACAAGCAACTGGCATGACCCATGTCGCACCTGCTGACCTCCATGATGAGGTAAACAGGGGAAAGTAAAGTATAGTAAGTGCCATCCCATGTGACCAAGACCCAAACCCAGGGAACATGGAGTGACCACATAAACAGGGGCTATTAGAACTGACTCAACAGTCCCAAAGTCTAGATTCTGGGGGAGAATCTGGAGCAACCCATAACTTCAATTAATGTGGTTTAAGACTGCATCAAGTAGCTTTGGGGTGCATTAATCCAGATCAGTTCCATGCATGATATACCAACCATGAATCTGATTAACAGTTCCTTCACACTAAATAGTCAGACTGAATATGCCCTCTGAATATGAATCTCCCCCTCTTTTCCTGAAATGAACCTACCAGGATAAGTGGCAGGTGGGGAGGAAAGCCATGCCTACTCCTTTGAGTTTAGTGGAAGAAGAGGAAGACAGAAATGCAACTAAGAAATGGAATATGCAAACAGTTTACCTAATTCTTGTGACACACAAGTTGACAGCGATATTTTTAGCTTACACACCTTTGTATAAAATGTTGATATTCCAGCTTGGCATGATCCATATTTTTCTCCATATCGTCTCACGTAATCTGAATATTTGCACACACAAAAATACAAAGGAAAATTGCTATGCATTGGGGGAGAAACCAAGCAACTAAAAACAATAATCCTTCCTGAATAGTATCAAAAATTCTTTTCAGCTGTTTTGGCAGAAATGTCGGGATTACGAAGACAACAAGAAAATATTCCACCCAGTAAAATCAAAAGAATAAAGGCATTGAGAGGCATTCTGTTCAAAATGTAATGTCACTACACATTTGCTTTGATAAAACTCTAAATTATCCCAATAAATCAAACACTCTAATTTTGGAACATATCAAGAAAACCAAGAAGATTATTGTAGTGTAGCTATAAATCCACAGTTGCAATAAGACAAAGAGTTGTAAAATCAATCTTCCATCAGCTATTAAGCTTCATTTTTTGTTTAAACTGCTAACTGTTCATAGTAATTATGGCTCCTATGAAAAAGCTCTAAAAGAAAGAGTCCAAAGTCTGACTCTCCCCCACTGAAATGTAGCACATACACCTACCTTTATAGCATGGACATATTCTTTGACTCAACAATGTCCGGAAATTGGCTGGTATCACGTAGCAAACACCATTAGGAAGTTTGTGCTCTGAAATATAAAATACATTTTTCCATCGATGTCCACAGGCCTACAGAAAAGCAAAGAAGAGGTGGAAATAAGTGTGATAACTGCAGAGCTAACCTGAACAAAACACAATTAAAGTTCAGGAAACATGCTTATGGAGAACTTTCCTCTAGTAAAACTAGGAGTCCATATAGCTCAGCATAATCTGTACTAGAAGTTGAGGATCCAGGATAATTTCCAGGCATCCTATACAGCAGTAGTTCTCAGCCTGTGGGTCCCCAGATGTTTTGGCCTTCAAACCATTATTCTAACCGTCTTCAATGTAAATGTGTAAATGTGCTTACATATCCTTCCAGTAATAATAAAGAGAGTAAAATAATGGAAATGTAATAATAACAGCAATAACTGCGTAAAATAATTAATATAATAATAATAAATAGAGTAAAATAATAAATGAAATAATAATAATAATAATAGAGTAAAATAATGTAAATGTAATAATAATAAATAGGGTATAATAATAATAGTAATAATAATAATAATAATAATAATAATAATAATAATAATAGAGTAAAATAATAAATAACTTTGACTCGAGTATAAGTCAAGGGGAGTTTTTTCAGCCTAGAAAAGAGCTGAAAAACTTGGCTTATACTCGAGTATATATTGTACTTTATGTATGACATTTTCAGATTCAACTTAAACAGAGAGGGCATGTTATCTAAACATAAATCTATCACCTCAGTCAATGTCTTTCAACACATTCTACCAGTTTACATTTTGAAGAAGCAAAGGGCAGACATACGTCTTTGTAAATAGTCCTACTGAGGTAATTCTAAAAATATGATTTTTATATTTCATATTTCAACACTGCTTGTTAATTAACATACTATAAAGAAAGCATTTTCAGGAGAATATGTCAAAAAACAGAGAGGCAGACAGCCAGACACATACAAAAGTAATGTGGAGTACTGTTCTGTAATTTCGAGAAGGAGTTTGGAAGGGGAAATACCTAAAGCGATGAAAGAACATACTCAGATGTTCAAGAATTTGGAAGAAACTTGTTCAGCATGCAAGTTAAATAAATAGAGCAATAAAATGCAGCTTTGTCTAACTCCTTCGACAACTGAAAACCATTCCATTCTGGTCTAGCACTGAATTAATAATAGTAATAATAGTAGTAGTACTTTATTTATAACCTGCCCTCTCTTGCCATATAGTTTTATTTGTAGAATTTATGACCGAAGTACACTTACAACAATAGACCCATCTTCTCCTGGCTGCCTTGACAAGCTCACCCCCAGCCACTGATTGTCTCTTTCTTCTAAGCAGGTTTTTCCACACTTCTGCCCTTCTGGGTAGCCTTTAAAGAAGAAAAACATACATCAATACTTATGTGCATGTATGTGTGTCCAAGTCTCCTATTGACTTTTGGCAATCCCTTGAAGTTCTTAGTATTTGCTTAAGCAAGGAATGTCGACATATATATTAATCTTTGAGAACACAGATAGCACATTGACATCATATTGATATGCTGAGGTGATAGCAACTGAATGAGAATAAGATTACCAGTAAACCACTATGTTGCAAAACTCAGTTACATGAGGATGTAATGACAGTTTAATAATGACATCAGAACCTTATAGCACCACCGTTCCACTTCTGAACTTAAGAGCCATGTGGTAAATGGGAAAATGAGTTTTTTCACCACAAAAATGTGTACATAGTTTCACAAAGGAAAAGGTGCTAATTTTGTGCAAGACTTTTTATGCAAAGTAGAGAACACACACAAACTGCACAATATTTCAGTCGCCTCCTAAAAGTGAGATTTGATGAGGAAGCCAGCAAGCTGAGCTAAAACTAAATCTCAGCAGAGATTGCTTTCCCTACACACCCAGCATGTTTTTAAGTTAATGTCAAATGGTTCACCATCCTTATCCATTTAAGGATAAAATGAAGTCAGACAAGGATCAAGGAAACAGTGCAGTGACCACTTTATTTTAAAAAGTGGGTGTTTTCTCCCCATTGGCAAATAGGTGGCATAAGTAAAGACTCCAATATGAATCAATAGCGATGTGAGAATGCAGGATAAATTTTTGACTGTTAAGCACATTTTTAAAAGAAAAAGAACCCAATCCAGTGAGATGTGAGCATGATCAGTGGTTACAGAATACTGGTTAAGGAGGCAAGACAATGATGAGGGACTGAAGGGAGCATTATGAAAACAAGCAGCAGCATTTTGTACATTCTACATTCCTCACTTGCATTAAGGATATAGTATTTTACAACAAAAATCAGAGTATCTCTTATCTAAAGGTTGAGTATTCTTTTATCAAACATGTGTTTGATTTCAGGATGCCCCCTGCCCCATTTTGGAATGCTTGTATTTACATTAATGTTAATACTGCGATATCTTGGAGAAAGGACCCAAGTCAAAACATGAAACTTATCTATGGCCCCTTCCACACAGCTGAATAAAATCCCACATGATCTGCTTTGAACTGGGATATATGGCAGTGTGGACTCAGGGTGCTTCCGGATAGCAGTAAATTATGTGTTTTAAACAGGGGCAAAACATCACAGGACTTCAGAAGAGGTCCACATACAGACCTGTTGGTCCTGGGATTTCTGCCTCTGTCATCCAGACTTGATGCTCTGTTGTGAGATTTAGACGCTCCCAAGATGGACACCGCAGGAATTCCACACAAAACCTCAAAATGCGGATATGCAGCAAATCACTGCAAAAGTTCTGTTCTTTGTCCTGGCCAGAGAAACTGTGCCTTCCAGATGGTTCATGAAGTTTCTGGCACAAAAACAATGTATTTGCCTTCTCCTCAAGTGTCACCTTTTTTTAGGAACCGACTAATCAGGAACAAACATCTGAGGCCTGGGAACAAACCCAGATTAAAAAAAAATCCCATGATTTCCGATTGCAGGGACATACAGACATGTGAAGATCCGCATATTTGGCTCAAAATCATGATTTTCCTGTATCTGGAAATCTCGCTTTTTTTTTTGCATTTTTTAGTGATTGCTTCCACGTTGACAGGGAATGGTGTCTGGCCACCCTCATGTTTGCTGTGGAAGCTCCTGGGATAAAAGTACTTTCTGGATAGGCCCTTAGATAACACAGTTCAAAGCAGATATTGTGGGATTTTCTGCCTTGAAATTCTGGATTATATGGCTGTGTGGAAGAGCCCTATGTTTCATATACACCTTATACATATTTTCATGAAAACCATGTTACACACAACATTTTTTAATAAGCAAGGGTGTATCTCAGTCATCCAGGTGGAAAATTTTGGATTTTGGAGTATTTTGAATTTTGGAATTCTGGATAATTGATATTACAGAAGAAGGGACTTTCGTGAAAGCACAAAGGGAGCATGAAAGAGACACCTATAACTATAACAAAGATGAAATAGCAGATGAGTAACAGTTCTCTTCTCCAGGCTTTTGAGTTCTCAGTAAAGCTTCTGAAAATGTACCTTAGCACCTCAGAAAGGGTTTGCTGAAGTAAAAAAATAAACAAAAACAAAAACCACTATACAAGCTCACAATTCGCAAAGCAAAAATATTTTCTGAGCTTATGGAGACCTGCTAGCAAACAGGATTAGCATTTTCAGAAAATGTGACAGTTTCTAACCACACAGAACACACTGAAATCCACTATACAATCTGAGGCAAACCTATGTGGTTATCATGGGTGGTGGCATGTGTATTGCATTTTACCGGACTTATTTTGTGACTCTTGGTGCCTTTTCGCATAGTGTTCTGATATGAATACAATCAGGACTATTCCAGGCTATCCTGTACTTTCAGGCGAATTGACATATCTTTTTTATTGGAATAAAACATACTTCTAATTAATTTGATTTTCAAGAACAGACTTCTCATTCAATGGAAATTTTCCTTCCTTCCTTTTCGTCTCCAATTCTGCACCACAGGATCCCTGGCTCTCCAAAGAAGAACTAGGGGCCCTTCCACAGAGCCCTATATCCCAGAATTTTAAGGCAGAAAATCCCACAATATCTGCTTTGAACTGAGTTATCTGAATCCACACTCAAATAATATGGAACTTCCTTCCTTGACATTCTGGAATATAGGGCTGTGTAGAAGGGTCCATAGTCGGTGTAGTCGAAGAATTTCATAACCAGAATCACTGGGTTGCTGTTGAGCCCCAGATGGCGCAATGGGTTAAACCCTTGTGCCAGCAGGACTACTGATCAAAAGATCAGCAATTCAAATCCAGGGAGCGGATTGAGCTCCTGTCTGTCAGCTCCAGCTTCTCATGCGGGGAAAAGAAAGAAGCCTTTCACAGGATGGTAAAACATCCAGGTGTTCCTGGGGAATGTCCTTGCAGATGGCCAATTCTCTCACACCAGAAGCAACCTGCAGTTTTTTAAGTTGCTCCTGACACAAAACAAAAACTGGGTTGCTGTTCCAGAAGCATTCTCTCCTGATGTTCCTCCCACATCTATGGCAACCACCCTCTTCTCAACTTTTGGGAAGCTCACCATGTGAAGCCTAAAAATGCCAGTGGCCCACCCAAGTTGTTGACTTATTTAGAGGAAAGTTGGTTATTATGGAAGTTTTTCATTGCAACACTGGACCCGTCCAGACAGTACCTTTTGCAGTATCTACCGCAATAAAGGAGGGGCTGTCCAAACAACGTTCTGGACAGTCGCAAATTAATTCACTACAAACCAAGAAAACTGTGGTTTATTCTTGAAAGTCACGGGATAAACCCACTATTTCCAGTCCTGGACTGCAGAATACAGTAAACTGTGAGAATACCCACCCCCTCCCCCAAAGCCACCAGACCTCTTAGAAAAGTAAAACTTACCCAGCCTCCATTATAGGCTTTGGTCAGCTCTCCCAACACATAGAAATGATGCGCCAGGAGAACGAAGGGTGGGGAGTGGGGAGGAAAATGATGCCAGGAAAGCTGGCTGAAGCCTGTAATGGATGCTAGGTAAGTTTTCATTACTTTTCTAAGGGGTCTGGTGGCTTCAGAAGAGGGGTAGGGCCTCCAGCTGTTCTCCCAGGCTAGTCCTGGGAGAACATCTGAACACCCACCCCAGAAAGTGCGTGCTTTACGGGGTGGATGTGGACAGGCCCCCAGGAAAATCCACGTTTTAAAAACATGGATTGTCCTGGGATAAAGGCCTGTCTGGATCTGCTCACTGACATCCTATTCACTCACTCACTTAAAACTCTGCCGAACTTCTTTGTGAACAGTCATGCATATCCATGTTCTGTTAGACAAGCAATCACTCTCCCCCGCTCTCCCAAATTGTCAATCCCAACAAATCTAATGCCAAGTTACAGAGTGGGAGTCACACCAGAGATGGTTGGGCTGCAGTTCACCAACAGCCATAGCCAACACAACCAATGGTGATGAATGCTTGGAACTGCAGTCTAACTTCTAGACTCCTATTCTTACGCAAGAAACTAGACTCAAGTCCTGATTTCTGAGCTTCTGTGACTCTTAAAAGACTCTAGTTGCCTTCCTAAAAAAATTTCCAGTACTGAATAGGCTTTTTATTTAATTCATTGCTCATGATCAGTAAAGTTTTATAAACAGGAAACTGATGAGTAAAAACTCATAAGTGGTAAAAAGAAAAATATCTTCCAGTACTGATTAATGCTAAGGCAACCCTTTGGGAGCCATGAGCTTCACATTCTTCTTGTTGACATAATAATTTGATAGTTCATTTTGATGGATTTGTCCAAATTCAAACATTATTTTTGAAGACACATTTTCACTTTTAGATGAACATATGTGCAACTTTAGATGCAGACCATTTTTTTAAAAAAGTTGTATTAAGTAAACTATTACTCAGCTGCACTTCACAACTAAAATAGGTTCCCTCACATCTGGTTCAGCTTAGTATCATCACCAGCTGCTCAGAGGGATATGTGTTTATAGGTTAAAGAAGCCTTGGGAGGCTTATCTAACTGATACCTTAGTGGCTCAAATAAAACTGTTTCTATCTAAATGGAAACTGAAGAAAAAAAAAGAATTTTAGAGAAATTAACTTGAAATGGTCTGATACTATGTAAAACATTTATGGGACTATGGTTCACTTTCAAGATTTTTCATAGAAAAGCGGAATACAAATAACAAGAGAAGATGAGGATGATAATGGTGGTTGTGGAAGTGATTATGACATTGTTGTTGTTGTTGTTGAGTGCCTTCAAGTCATTTCCACCTAATGGTCACCCTAAGGCAACCCTATCACAGGCTGAAGTTTGCCACTGCCTTCGTCTGAGAATGTGACCTGTCCAAGTTCACTCAGTGGGTATCGTGACTGAGGAGGAATTCCACCCCTGATCTCCAGAGTCATAGTCAAACGTTCAAGCCACATAACACTTCTTCCCAATTATGACATACTGCCCTTATTTTGGGGGCTTATAGAAGAAATGGCTTATAGAAGAAAGGAAAGCAATGTGAGGCTGAATGCCAGCTAGGTTATTAACCCGAATGAGACAGATGATTCAGGTGGCAGATGCTGGGCGGCATGGATAGCCCACACATAGTGACACACAGCTGTATATGTTGGAGGACAGAGCTGTATATGCCTCATGGCTTCTCCTGGACCCCCTCAGTCAGCCTAATGCCTCAAGCATGGGGGAAGATAATTAATTGGACTGTTAATTGGACTGTGAACTGCCAATCCAACTAACATCTGTACAAGGAATAGGACGGCCACTTGTCCTTCATTTTATGAGTATGCTTCACCGGCTGCAGTTATGAGTGAAGCCAGTACACACTACACAGCTGCAAGAATGGAAAATAAAATACTTTTGAAATACTTTTGAGAAAGGGTGAACCTGACACAGCAGTCCTGTCAACTGGTCTATGTAGTAGTCAGGATCCTATCATACTGCTTGGTATAGCAGGTCAGAGTTCTTATTTTCAAATGCAGAATATCTTGATGATCTTTGCACATTGCAACAGCATGCATGGAAATGCAATACAAGAATGAATCCTGGGGGGAAAAAAGTACTAGCATGGAGACTATTTAGAGTTAAGTGCAAATAATCAAGCAACAAGCAATTCAAATGCAGGGAAGGGCTCTCTCAGTATATTTCTATCCCTCTTTGCTGCCAGAGATGCCCGTTTCAAGCCCTTGCCTCTTTGCTTGTAGGAATAAGAGGCACATTCACATAGGAAGCATCTTACTGAAATTGCAGAATGTGATTTCAGAGGGCAGCACCTGGAAGAAGAACTGCTGATACACTGCTGACACTTTCTGAGCTGTTCCTTTATAGCCCAATTCAACAAGTTTTCTCTCATGGAAATATTTCACACAGCACATCATCTCGTTGGTCCACATTGTTCTGTATTGACACAGATCAGCACTGTCCACAATCTCAACAGTCTTTCCCAGTCTTACCTAGACATGCCAGAGACTATATCTTGGACCTTTTGTGAGGTTACCCATCCTCACCAGATGTGAGCAATGAAAGGATGAGGAATGAACTGATGGAGAACCAATATGAATGCAAACCAGTTGTCTTATCCAGCATCTGCTAAGCTGGTTTGCTGTCTCCTGATTCAATTGAATCTCCTTTCATCAGCAACGTCAGGCTCAGATTCTTCTGTTAAACTCTTTTAATGAAGGACACCACCTTGATTTTCATCTCATCTTGTTAAATATATTGAGCTTCCCTCAGTCTTCTACAAAGAACCCATGTGCGCTGTATTTATTATTATTTTATTTACTGCACTTATATACCACTTTTCACACCCCTGGAGGACTTAAAGTGGTGTATATCATGTAATGGTAAGATTCAATGCCAACATACATACAAAACCAAAGCATAATATCTAAAACTATAAATTAAACCATTAAAATCATTAAACACAGACAATATTTAGACAAATAAAACATAGAATTAAAACCACCTTAATATTAACAATAAAATCACATAATCCAAAAATGCAATCTGAAGCCATTCCAATTGTCAATTGCACTTATTTACTATTCATTTCTTTTACTGCATTACTTTGCTGCCACAAAGACTTGGTACCATAGCCATGTCTTCACGTTCTTTCTGAAGGCCAGGGGGGAGGGTGCTGATCTAATTTCACAACAGCCAAGGAGCCACCACTGAGAAGGCCCTGTCTCTTGTCCCTACCAACCACACCTGCAAAGGAGGTGAGAGCAGGGCCTCCCCAGATGATCTTAACCTCCAAGATGGTTCATACAGGGAGATGAGTTCAGCCAGGTAAGCTGGGCTGAAAATGTTTAGGGCTTTATAGGCTAAAGCAAGCACTTTGAATTGTGTTTGGTAGCAAGCTGGCAGTCAGTGGTGCTGACACAGCAGGGGGGTTGTGTGCTCCCTGTATGCTGCTCCATTTGAGTGACATACAGGGAGTTGGACCATTTGAAGCTTGCAAACTGTCTTCAAAGACAACCCTGCATAGCGTGCCTTGCAATAGTCTATACGGGATGTAACAAAGGCTATGGTTTTCAGCCTCCTCCCATTTATATAACTTATCACTTGATAAATTGAAGTTTAATGTGCAATAGGAATAACATAACATTTCAGGGGACATGAATGCTTTCTTTTGTACCAGTTCTTTAATACACATTAGTGCTTGATACTGAATTTATTTGGGAATGGGACATAAATGTGCAAGTCAGCTGATGAAAATCCTTACACAGAGAAGAGCTGATCTTTCATCTAGCTTTCTTCCTAAGCTTCAGCTCAAAGACATTCAATAGAGCTCTGTTTTCAGTAAAAGGCCTGCAGGGAAGATAATAGTCTTGAATAGGCTGCATTTTATGTAAAACCACATTTTACACTGGCAGATAGATATACCATGCAAGAAGTATTTTTCTGCCCTTATATCCACAAGATCCTTCATTCCCAGCAATTATGACTCCAGAGCTAGAATTCATTTAGGAAAGAGAAAGGCTAGCTGGTTTAAAAATCCTCTCTGTATATATATTTTAAAAATATATCAGAGGTGACCTCTCCTTTCTCCTAACCAGTAGCATATTTCAACTGACTTTAGTGCCAAACGGTTGAGTGCTTTATCACCTTGAAAAGGTTATCATAAGTTCCCACATGCTTATGGAATAACTGTTTCTTAGACACTGTGAGAGAAAGGCGGGAAATGAAACTCTAAATATGTATTTTGATTATCGGTTTTAGTCCCTGGTGCTAATTCAGCTGTAACCAGCTATTTCATTGAGAAGGGAGCAATAGAAGTTGAATATTTTGACACTTCAGAGTCTAAGGAAGTAAAGAATACACACCAAACATTATAAATAGCACACATTACACATTCACCAAAAAGGCAATATCCTATAGAATGGACAAATCTTTTAAGGTTAAAAGGAAACAGCATTGCGCAGCAACCATCATCTCACAACCTCCTAGTAAACAGCCAATCTTCTTTCAATATAGACAGAAAAACCCACACAAGTGTGAAATAATATGTTAATTCTCAGACTTTTCCCCACTTTGGAGGTGTTACAAAAATAATGGAGGAAGGAAGATAGGAACCATGGTCAACTGAAAAGAGACACAGAAGGAGCCTGTAAGAACATATGGCTAATGCTTTACCCAATGGATTTGTCTGAGACATGGCTTGTGTTTAGCTAGGAAGATGGCAAGGCCACCAAGTCCCATCTTCCACTTACTCACCCACTTGAAGTGCTTCACAATATCGCCCTGGATTCTTCCCAATTTGGCACCTGTATATTGCACCTGGATTCACTACTGATGCGTTTGTAGGCCAGTTAGCTTTAGGGGCTCCTACAACAAGCCTAAAGAAGAAAACAAGAATGAAATATTATTTTTATTAATAATAATAATAATAATAATAATAATAATAATAATAATAAACCTTTATTTATACCCTGCTAACATCTCCCGAAGGACAGTAAGAGAGCAATCTTCCTGGCAAAAACTTGTTCACAATCTTCCTGGGACCTAGAGAGAGGAACCAAGGTAAACTGAACTGAAATCCTTTAGGTCAGTGCTTATTCTGATATTGGAGATTGGCACTTTTCAATGTGCCAGGGACTGACACTATATTGGTGTCCATTGGATACAGCTATTGTATTCTCTCTGGAAACTAGGAAAGGACCAGCAGACAATGGCTTGGTGGCTAGCACCAGTTCAGAGTCCATCACTGTGAAGCCCAGTAGTAGTCTATATCAGAGTTCCTTAACCTTGCATTCATGACTCATTTACATCTAAGAAATGTTTTCGTGACCACAGGTATATAGGTTGTTCTTGTTGTTGTTTATTCATTCAGTCGGTTCCAACTCTTCGTGACCTCATGTTGGTTGTCACCACCTCCAGTTCCTTCAAGGTCAAGCCAGTCACTTCAAGGATACTATCCATCCATCTTGCCCTTGGTTGCCCCCTCTTCCTTTTTCCTTCCAGTTTCCCCAGCATCATTATCTTCTCCAAACTTTCCTGTTTTTTCATTATGTGGCCAAAGGACTTCATCTTTGCCTCTAATATCCTTCCCTCCAGTGAGCAGTTGGGCTTCCTTTCCTGGAATATGGACTGGTTGGATCTTCTTGTGGTCCAAGGCACTCTTAGAATTTTCCTCCCGCAGAACAGTTCAAAAGTGGTATATCGGTATATAGCATAAATATACAAATCAAACATTTGCTGATATTAATTCAGCATTTGCAAGGCTTGCTAAACAGACTGATTTCCCTTTTTGTAGAATACATCTGAAGCATTTTCTGCAGCGTACACTGTAAACACTGCACATTGTTGCTAAAAGATAATGAATGGTGTTCAGAAATCTTTTACTGTTGCCAATTTTTTGTGATCTGAGCATTGAATTAAGGGGCCCCACTTGGGGTGGGAACTCACAATGTAAGAAGTTGTAGTCTGTAGGACCATTATGGCACAGATGTCAGTAATCTCCATGAAAAAAAAAACACTAGGAAATGTTGAGAACTGGTGGAAGACTTCAATATGTGCCTTAAAGAATAACCCAAGATTTTGAGACATCGTGGCACCATATTAACTGTCATGGCTCAATGCTGTGGAATCCTAGGAGCTATAGCTTGGTGAGGCACCAGGACTATTGTCAGAGAAAGTCCACGCAAAACTACAACTCCCAGAATTTCATAGCATTGAACCATGCCAATAAAAGTGGCCTCAAACTGAATAATAATTTGACAGTGTAGATGCACCCCTACTTTGATACAACATTGAGCAATACCAGAGCCAACTAAATATTACAAGACAGTATGCAAGGATTTGAATTCTCCAGAACTCTTCCCCAGAGTATTTATGACAAAATATGGGAATGCTTTTTTTGACTGCCTGGTCTAATACCCTAAAAACACCAGATCTTGTCTTGATCTTTGTAGGTAAGTAGGATCAGCCCTGGTTAAGACTTAGAAGGGAAACCACCAACAAATACCAGGCTCCAGTGGAGAGGAAGCAACTGGCAAAGCCATCTCGGTGAATTCATTGCCTAAGAAAACTCTACGAAATTCATGGGGTTATCATAACGTGCCAAGCAACATACACACTCATAGTCCAAACAGAGCTTTAAAGAGCTCAAAAGTTTACACGGCTGGCATTTTGGAGAGTTCCTGTGCATGTTGAATCCCACATTCCCTTGAGTCGCGAAAACTGTTCCTTTCTTTTTTACATTGACATCCATGGGGTCACCATCAATGGGTTTGCATTAAGACCCCAGGTGATTTGAAAGCAGCTACAATGTCAGGTGACTTGAAGGAGAGCTCTGGAAAAATCAAATGTTTACATGTCAGGCACTTGGTTGATTTGGAATCTCACGCCCCCTTAAATCACTCAAACGCTACCTCTTTGTATTACTTCCCCCCCCCCCCATGACATTCATGGGTTCTCCAGAATACGCCACGCCACGTAACTAGAAGAGAGTCCTAACAAGTCACAATCCAAAGCCCTGGCACTTCGGTGAGTGGGATTTTGAACCCCACACAAGTCACTCAAACTCTTAGAAAAGAAACAAACAAACCACAACCTCATTTGGTTATTTGCTTTGGCTGTGAACTCACACACTTCTCTTGTCCCTTCCTCAACATTCAGACAGCAGGATGGAGAAGACAACAGAGAATTAAACTAAGTCTTATTCTCTAGCTCACTCGCTCAAACAAGCACAGAGCCTTATCCAACAAGACACCCCCCCCCCCCCCCCAGTTTTAAACACTTTGTATACATTTATAGAATGGAAAGCAATTGAACCCATCCCACAACGCAGGGGGACTTCCTGTGTCCGCCTGTCAAGATTTGTCATGTAATTGTTGAAAACAGTGTCAAAAAAGGGGATGGGGGAGATGAGGATCTGAAAGCATCTCAATTGCCTTGGATGCATGATATTCCATTTCTAAAGTGCCCAAAACATGTGGGATAGGAGCCGTCAGAATTGCCCACATTGACTCAAATAGGATGACGTAGGCAAATGGGCTGTCCTGTGGGCGGTCTACTAACCAGCAGTAAGTCCCCACTTCTCTGCTGTAATGTGGCCACACAATCAATGTCTGTAATTGTTTAATATATATTTAGAACTAAGAAATATTGTTACTTTAGTAGATCACGATTTTTCTTAAGGAATGCAAATCTCAAACCAGCAAGAGTTTGGACTCTTGTGATGTCGAAGTAACGCCCTTTTTTGTAAAAAGGGGGAGGGAGGGAACGGGACAATCCACTTGCTGGCGGGATAAGGATGAAAACAGTTAGAAAGGGAGAAACCACCAAATTTAGAAGACACGCTGTAAGTAATAACTGAGGGATGAATTTGGTTAGTAAAGGAGAAACCAGCAAGTTCAGAAGACATATGGTAAGTATTGTTGAAGGCTTTCATGGCTAGACTCACTGGATTGCTGTGAATTTTCTGGGCTGTATGGCCATGTTCCAGAAGCATTCTCTCCTGATGTTTCGCCCACATCTATGACAGGCATCCTCAGAAGTTGTGAAGTCTGTTGGAAACTAGGGAAGATGGGTTTATATATCTGCCAAATGTCCGGCGTTGGAGAAAGAACTCTTGTATGCTGAATGTTGCAACTGATCATCTTGATTAGCATTGAATGGTCTTGCAGCATCAAAGCTTGGCTGCTTCCAGCCTGGGGGAATCCTTTGTTGGGAGGTATTCACTGACCCTATATCCCAGAATATCAAGGCAGGATATCCAACAATATCTGCTTTGAACTGGGGGTCCTTTCATACAGCTGAATAAAATCCCACATCATCTGCTTTGAACTGTGATTTATGGCAGTGTGGACTCAGATAGCCCATTTCAAATAAAATATTGCAGGATTTTCTGCCTTGATATTCTTGATATTTTCTACCTTGATATTCTGAGTGTGGAAGGGCCCTCAGTTATCACACTCAGATAATGTGGGTTTTTTTTTTGCCTTGATATTCTTGGATATAGGGCTGTGTGGGAGGGCACTCAATTAACTGAATTCACACTCAGATGTGGGATTTTTTTTTGCCTTGATATTCTGGATATAGGGCTGTGAGGAAGGGAGCTAGGTTATCTGAGTTCACACTCAGATAATGTGGGATTTGTATTGTCGAAGGCTTTCATGGCTGGAATCACTAGGTTCTTGTGGGTTTTTTTGGGCTATAGGGCCATGTTCTAGAGGCATTTCTCTAGCTCCATCAGAGAAGAGCTCTTTGCCCCACCCCAGCCATTCCACAGATATATAAACCCATTGTCCTAATTCCAACAGACCTCACTACCTCTGAGGATGCTTGCCATAGATGCAGGCGAAACGTCAGGAGAAATGCCTCTAGAACATGGCTCTATAGCCCAAAAAAAACCCACAAGAACCTAATGTGGGATTTCTTTTGCCTTGATATTCTGGGATATAGGGCTGTGTGGAAGGGCCTTCACACACAGATAATGTGGGATTTCTTTTGCCCTGATATTCTGGGCTATAGAGCTGTGAGGAAGGGCCCTAAAAGGCCATGATGCCATGATCATGAACTCCCCCAGATGGGACAAGGTCCTTAGTGTCAAGGAGCCCTTGAGGCTGAGCAAGAAGAGCATGTGGGATGCCAAGGGTGGCTGGGCTGCAGCCTGGGCAGAAGAGAGGCGCCCTTGGGTGGGGCGAGGGCTACTCACCAGGGCGTGTGGGCCACGCTGTGGAGGAGCACCGAGTAGCCAAACAAAGTCCCGTTGTGCCCTTGGAAGACCAGCGGGCTCAGCGTGTCCAAGTTGTAAGCCTGGGCAGGCGTGGAGCAACAGCTGAGGGAGAGGAGCAGGCGGGCCAGCCCTGGCGGGGAGAAGAGGCGCGCCTCCTCCTGCTTCTGCTGCCAAGGAGCCTTCATCCCTCTTGGCTGGCTCTTTCCGTTGTTCTACAAGTTGTCTCCCGTCTCAGGCTCAAGGCAGACACGGAGGGCTGCTCCTGTTGCTCCTGCTGCCTCCAAGTCCCGGCGCTTCTTGGAGCTCAGGAGGCGCCAAGTTCAAAGAGTGGAGTCAGTCCAAAGTTGGAGCTGGGCGCCTGCCTCTCTCGAGGGCGGGGTGGCTGAGGGGGAAGTTTGGGGCTTGGGGAGGCGCTCCTGGCCCTGCCCCGAACGCGCGCGAAAGGGAGGCCGCTGCTTTCAATTAGGGACAAAGAGGAGGGAAAGGAGAGGCAGAGAAAGCAGAAAGGAGGAGAGCAAGGCGAGGGTCGAGGGGTTGTCCCAGCAAAAGAAGGAAGTGCCCAGAGCACCAGGAACACCCCCTGCCTCCAACAAACCGAGCAGCGTCCAAGTGGGCTCAAGACGGGGGAAGGTTTCCAGCAGACCTCCCAACCTCTGAGGATGCCTGCCATAGATGCAGGCGAAACGTCAGGAGAGAATGCTTCTGGAACATGGCCAGACAGCCTGGAAAACCTACAACAACCCGGGGAAAAGTTGTGAAGGGAGAACCACACACAGACTTCTGAAAGACAGCAGTAATTTAGCTTCCACATAGCCCTATATCCCAGAATATCAAGGCAGAAAATCCTACAATATCTGCTTTGAAATGGGGCCCCTTCCACACAACTGAATAAAGTCCACAATATCAGCCTTGAACTGGAATATATGGAAATGTGGACTCAGATAACTCAGTTCAAAGCAGATATTGTGGAATTTTCTGCCTTGAAATTCTGGGGCATAGGGCTGTGTGGAAGGGCCCAAAGTGGCCTCAAGACAGGAGGAAGTTGGGAATGAACACACACACTTCTGAAAGACAGCAGCACTTTAGGCCTCATCCGCATAGTTGAATAAATCCAACATTTTCTGCTTTGAATTGGAATATATGGCAGTGTGGACTCAGATAACAGTCACCCTTGTCGTCCCAGGCTCTTCCTGCTCCCCTTGAGCTCGGCCTCAATTGGTCCTTGACACTAAGGATCTTGTCCCATTTGGGGAAGTTCATGATTATGAAATCATGGCCTTGTAGAGCCCTTCCACACAACTGAATAAAACCCCGCATTATCTGCCTTGAACTGGAATATATGGCAGTGTGGACTCAGATATCTCTGCTCAAAGCAGATATTGTGGGATTTTCTGCCTTGATATTCTGGGATATAGGGCTGTGTGGAAGGGCTCGCACACACACTTCTGAAAGAGGGCAGCAATTTAGGCCTCTTCCACACAGTTGAATAAATCCCACATTTTCTAACTTGAACTGGAATATATGGCAGTGTGGACTCAGATAACAGTCACCTTTGTCGTCCCAGGCTCTTCCTGCTCCCCTTGGGCTCATCCTCAATGGCTCCTTGACACTAAGGATCTTGTCCCATTTGGGGAAGTTCATGATCATAGAATCAAAGAGTTGGAAGAGACCTCATGGGCCATCCAGTCCAACCCCCTGCCAAGAAGCAGGAATGTTGCATTCAAAGCACCCCTGACAGATGGCCATCCAGCCTCTGTTTAAAAGCCTCCAAAGAAGGAGCCTCCACCACACTCCGGGGCAGAGAGTTCCACTGCTGAATGGCTCTCACAGTCAGGAAGGTCTTCCTCGTGTTCAGATGGAATCTCCTCTCTTGTAGTTTGAAGCCATTGTTCCGCGTCCTAGTCTCCAAGGAAGCAGAAAACAAGCTTGCTCCCTCCTTCCTGTGGCTTCCTCTCACATATTTATACATGGCTATCATATCTCCTCTCAGCCTTCTCTTCTTCAGGCTAAACATGCCCAGCTCCTTAAGCTGCTCCTCATAGGGCTTGTTCTCCATGGCTTTATAGGGCTCTTCCACACAGCCCTGTGTACCAAAATATCAAGGCAGAAAATCCCACAATATCTGCTTTGAAATGGGGCCCCTTCCACACAACTGAATAAAATCCCACATTATCTGCCTCGAACCGGAATATATGGAAATGTGGACTCAGATAACTCAGTTCAAAACAGATATTGTGGGATTTTCTGCATTGAAATTCTGGGGCATGGGGCTGTGTGGAAGGGCCCAACATGGCCTCAAGACAGGAGAAAGTTGGGAATGAACACACACACTTCTGAAAGATAGCAGCACTTTAGGCCCCTTCCACACAGCTGAATAAAATCCCACATTATCTGCTTTGAACTGGAATATATGGCAGTATGGATAACAGTCACCCTTGTTGCCCCAGTCTCTTCCTGCTCCCCTTGGGCTCAGCCTCAATGGCTCCTTGACACTAAGGATCTTGTCCCATTTGGAGAAGTTCATGATCATGAAATCATGGCCTTATAGGGCTCTTCCACACAGCCCTATATCCCAAAATACCAAGGCAAAAAAAATCACACATCATCTGAGTGTGAACGCAGATAACTGAATGCCCTTCCACACAGCCCTATATTCCAGAATATCAAGGCAGAAATCCCACAATATCTGCTTTGATCTGGGTTGTCTGAGTCCACAATGCCATATATCCCAGTTCAAAGCAGATATTGTGGGATTTTATTCTGCTGTGTGGAAGGGACCTCAGATAACCTAGGGCCCTTCCACATTGCCATATAACCCAGGTCCCATCCAGACAGTACCTCTATCCCAGGAGCTTCTGCAGCAAACAGGAGGGTGGCCAGACACTGTTTCCTGTAAATATGGAAGCAATCACTACAAAAGGCAAAAAACATGAGATTTCCAGGTGCGGGAATATTGCAGTTTTGAGCCGAATATGGAGTTTGACCCTCCTTAACTGCCATGGCTCAATACTATGAAATTCTAGGATTTCTTGTTTTGTGAAGCACCAGTACTTTTTGGCAAAGAAGGCTAAAGACCTTGTGATACGACAACTCCATTGATCCCATAGCTATGACCCCTGGCAGATGCAAGCTGAGGGCCTTTCCACACTGCCCTATATCCCAGGATCTGATCCCAGATTATCTGCTTTAAACTGGAATATATGAGTCTCCACTGCCAGATATTCTGGGATAAGCAGATAATCTGGGATCAGATCCTGGGATATAGGGACAATGTGGAAGGGCCTGGGTGGAAACTCAACATGGGAGAGAGGTGAGAAGCAAAGTGCTACAGTCTCTTCTATCTTGTGTGTTTTCCCTCGTTAATAATTTTTCCCAATTGGAACACACTCCAAGGTTGCTTGGACACACGGGCCTGGTTTTTATCTGAGAAATATTGAAGAGTTCAATCACGAGCCTTCCAGGCTCCTCTCACACTGCCATAGAAAATCCAAATTATCTGCTCTGAATTGGATTATATGGCAGTGTAGACTCATATAATCCAATTCAAAGCAGGTAATCTGCATTATCTGATTTGATATTCTGGATTATATGACAGTGTAGAAGGAGCCCCAAAAGTTGTTGAAGTGTATCTCCTAAGACTCCTCACCAGGGCTGCTGGTATTAGTAATCCAGCAAAATCTAGAAGGCTGCTCCTCAGGTTTTTGTTGGTACACATTTTGGACTTAAGCTTCCAGAAGTTCCATCCAGCATGGCCTGTGAGCAGGGATGGTGGGAGTTAAAGCACTTTGAGAACAAAGGCTGGGGATCCATTGTTTTCATACAATCAAGTAAAATATCACAAGGCAGTGAGCCAGTTTTTGTTTTAATATCTGGGATGAGATGCTTTGAGTTCCAGAAAACTCAGAGACTTGTTTATTGAGTGACATTTCAACTGGTAGCATTTTGGTTGGTTCTCCTGCCACTGCTAAAGATATCATGCAGCTGCCAGTTTTGGAATGATTAACCATTGGCAGCTTTTCTCTGTTTCCTCCTACAGCAGACACGAATGGAGTATGCCTTTCCTTTCCACCTGTCCATATCAACATGTGCTCGGTGTGGTTTACTGAAAGGCATGCTGGCTTGGTAAAGAATAGCATTTTCCTCTGCAATTTCTTGAGTGACAGGAATATTGTGCTATCAGTTCAAAAACTAAGGGATAAAAATGTTTCCTTCCACAAAAGATCCTAAAATATTCCTGTACAACAAATGGGAAAAGAAGGATGATCTTCACGTGAAAGAAGGCATATAATTGGGAAAAATATAGAAAGAAGTAGAAAAAAATAAGTAAAGGTACCATGAGTGGAACACCCGTATCCACTCGGGTCATGTTCCAAGATACAGGAACACATACAGTGGATGCCTGAAACTGTGAATAATAGGGAACTCATTTTGACTATACCTGGAGTAGAAGCGTACCATAGATGCACTCTGAAAGACTTCGAGAGGCCTATGGACACTGTCAGAATATTTTTTGGAGCACAGGTAAGCATTTGCAAAATGCCAATGGTTATTTTGTGTCTAGGGAAGTCTGGTTCCAGATTCATTGCAATTTTTTTCCAGGCTGTTGTAAGTTTTTCAGGTTGCGTGGCCATCTTCCAGAAGCATTCTCTCCTGACGTTTTGCTTGCATCTATGGCAGACATCCTCAGATATTGGGAACTAAGAAAAAAATCAATTACCACAGCTTACCAAATGGAGAAATGCATGCCAGTAAAAATTATTGTGTTGTAAAATGCTATTTCCATTTGTTGACTCAGCAACTTATAGTACATAGTTAGTGCTAAATACTAAAAGAGCCCCATTATCACAGTTTTGCTCCGGAGTTCTTACTTGGGCAGTATTCAATTTTTGTTGGTTTCAATAAGTGCATTTTCCCCAACTTTTTTTGCACATGCACTTTTGCTGCGTAAGAACTGCTTTCCCAATGATATTACCTCAGCAACCAAAGTGGAGGAGGGTTGTTGTGGTTTTCAATGGCATCATCATGCTTTTTTCATCCACAGTCCTGCTACGGTTCTATAGGATAGCAACTAGCTGAGAAGTATGAAAGAAATCTTGGACTGGAATGATGGCAATTACTTGAGTAACTGGGACATTTCCAGCCACCACTAGAATGATGGAGAAATATAATATTAATTCATTTGTATTAGAAAGTATATCTACTGAAACCTTATATGTCAGCTCCTTCCTTCTGGTTCACAATAAAAAGCAAACAAACATCTTTGTGAAACTAGCATGTTGTGTAAAGACTACTGCTGAATCTCCTGTTCCCAATCTCTGAGGATGTCTGCTTTTTTTAAAAAAGAAATTAAAACATCTTTTAGTAATTTTCTCTTAAAATACTCATCACTTCATAGCG